TCGATTGCTTGGGTACCTCTGTCCTATTCGTGTTTCAACCGTGAAGCAGTTGTGTTTGTATGGCTGTATTTCGGTTTGAAGGATGGGATATGGCGTAAATTTACTGGGTACAGAGAAATAACACCTGAGTCCTCAGGAATGGCAACGCATGGGGGGTATCATGGGCGAAACAGTATGTTATGTCTATGGTACTGCTCATGTCTATAGGCGACGGTTACCACTTTCCATCAGGTGGGCCGTCAGCTTGTTTGCCATTCTAAGTTGTATAAAAAATGGACGATGTCGCGGGTAAAACATAATTTCCTATAACATAGTTGCACGCCCAGTTATTTAAATTATGGGCTAAAAACAATTACTGAAGGTTGTCGAATATACTTGATGAAGATACGGGTAATTAATATTCAACACTACATAAAGTGATTATGCGAATTTATTTTTTATTTGGCATAGCGCAAGGTTCAAGATACCTTTAAACAACTTACCTACTGTATAATATGAAATTAACGTCCGCAGTTTAGTCGGAACGTACAAGTTAATAAATCTAACGCGAGGAGATGGAGAGAGGATATGCTTGAATTATAAATTAACGGAACTTCGAATGTCTGAATTATGAATACCCAGGGTCAAATCGAAGTCGTTAGCGGTACGTACAACTAAGAATATACTCATGCTGTGGAACATGTTAGGGCAAACATTTTGTTAGGAGAACAACTAATTTTGTTTTACGGATTTACATTGCCGGATGTGAGTTGGCTCATTGTTACAAAGTCACCAAGAATTTACTACGATAAGTAAAAACCTAAAACCTACGTGAAAGTGTTAAATTACGTGAGACGTATGTTTAGAGAAATAGCGCCTTAGAACCGACCCCAATGTTTCTATAATTTAATGCTAATTATATTTAGATAAATCATACATCTTTCAGTCCTGTGGATGTTGTAAGAGGCTACTAAAAGAACATAAGTGGTAGAAGGATAGGCAGCAGCGTCCCTCTTTAAACATCACCAAAGCCTAACAGCGGTTGTCATTTCGCCTGCCAAGCGTGGCAACTACTAGTAAAACTACTAATAGGCGAACGCCTATATTCAGCAGTGGGGGGAGAAGGGATTGTTAGTTTTTTTTTTTTTTTACAACACAGGGGGCAAACGAGCATGCGGCTCACCTGATGGTAAGTGACTACCGCCGCCCATGATCACCCACAACACCTACGGCATTGCAGGTGTGCTGCCGGCCTTTTAAAAAGGAATATGCTCTTTTCTTGAAGGTTATGTTGTCGTATCGGTTCGGAAATACTGCTGCTGGAAGTTGATTCCAAAGAGTGGTTGTGCGTGGGAGAAAGTGCCTTGAAAAACGCATGGTGGAGGACCGCCACTTGTCCAGATGGTTGGGATGAAATTTTAGTTTATGGCGGGTTGTACGATGGTGAAAATCTGCAGCAGGTATCAATCCGAACAATTCTTCAGAGCACTCCCCATGATAAATTCGGTAGAAAATGCACAGAGATGCAACATCTCTACGCAGTTCCAGTGGGTCGAGCCGGACAGTAAGACGCCGATCGTCAACAATTCGAGCTGCCCGACTTTGAATGCGGTCTAACGGAAGGAGTTGGTACTGTGGCGCTCCTGCCCACAGGTGAGAACAGTATTCCATGTGTGGCCTCACTTGAGCTTTATATAGTTTCAGGCGGTTTTCTGGCGTGAAATACCGTCTCACCCTATTGAGCACCCCCAACTTTTTGGAAGCTATCTTAGCTTTTTCCTCCAGATGACCGCAAAACTGGACGTCGCTAGATATATCGACGCCAAGAATCCCCAGACTCGACTTATTATCGAGGGAAGTGCCCCGAAAGTAAGGAGATACGACAAACGGTGTCTTTTTTGCGGTGAACGCGCAGACTTGTGTCTTCTTAGGGTTAAAGTGAACAAGATTGCGTTCACCCCAGATCGAAACTTTGTCGAGCGAAGTTTCGATTTCAGACACAAGTCTGTTCCGGAGCTCATCGGTATGTGCCCGCGAGATCTTTGCATGACCGGTGTATAATGCATCTCCTGTACTGTCGTCTGCATAACAATGAATATCACTGATCTGTAACATATCATTGATATGCAGAAGAAACAGTGTCGGAGATAGTACACAGCCTTGCGGGACACCAGCATTCACAGGTTTTAAGTCAGAGCATCGACTACGACCTTAATGCTACGTTCCTTAACTGGCGACCCAACTGCACAATCTACGAAGGTAGTTTTGAGATTAGTGCCCTATGCCACACCCGATCAAAGGCTTTCGCAATATCCAGACTAACAGCTAAGGCCTCTCCCTTATTCTCGATTGCCACCGCCCATCGGTGTGTTAAATAAACTAAAAGATCACCAGCCGAGCGCCCCCGTCGAAAGCCGTACTGGCGATCTGAGATCAGCTGGCGATCCTCTAGGTACCGGAGCAGTTGATGGTTAACAACTGATTCCATGACTTTTAAGGAGGTGATAGCTATGGGCCTATAGTTAGCTGGATCTGAGCGGTCTCCTTTTTTAGGGATCGGATGCACCAAAGCAGTCTTCCAAAACTTTGGGACTATACCTGATGAGTAAGAACCGGAGCCAACTCTGGTATATAGGAATGCCATCGGGCCCACTCGACTTATGGATTTCAAGGGAGAGAAGTGCTCTACGCACTGATCTTTGCGTGAATTTAACATCCGGCATAGAGCTCTTACAACGCGGGATGGTCGGCGGTGGTTTCTCCCCGTCATCCAACGTCGAGTTTGATGCAAAGAGAGATCCAAGGAGATCAGCCTTCTCTTTGGCGTTCAGAGCCAACGAGTTATCCTCCCTGCGCAATGGTGGAAAAGATGACTGACAGAAATTCCCTTGTGAGACCAGAAATCGAGACCCCGAAGGTAAACTAGCCAATCTCTTGCCAATTCTATTAACTTCGCTGTGGCCAAAACTCTTTTGAAGGACCTAGAGGCAAAGTTATACTTCTTTTAAGGGCACTGATGTTAGGATCTCGCGACGCCACACCTTTTTAGCACTCCTGTTTCAGGCGAGATGCTATTCTACAAGAGGCTCCATACCAGGGCTGGGATTTACCGACAGTACCACAGAGTTAGGAATAAATAATTCCATTCCCTGAAACCACATCGGCGATGGAATTGGCGATGGCGTCGGGTTCCCTCAGTGCGAAGCAAACCTGCCTCCATGGGTAAGATGCGAAAAAAATCCGCATCTCATCCCAGTCTGCCGACCTGTAGTGCCAAACACGACGTCTACCCGTGGAACGTGGTGGAATCGGACTCATGAGAGGCACCTCGCTCCGCACCAGACAGTGATCCGACGATCCAAGCGGAGCTTCGACGGAAATCACATAGTTGTCTGGGTGGGTTCAGCAGAAGGTCCAACAGTGAAGGTGAATGGTCCAACACATCAGGTATTCGCGTAGCTGCGTCAGACCATAAGCCAAAGCAAAGTCATGAACAGATCTTCCCGCATAGTCGGTTGTACGTGAACCAAGCCATTCGGTATGGTGGGCATTAAAATCGCCAAGAATCACGACTTCAGCGGAAGGAATCTGTTCGAGCAGGGAATCTGTAGTCATTTGGACGTACTCAATGAGTTGGTCGGTTTCGATGTTACCGCTGTGGGACCTGTATAGGCATGCATAGACGCGAGGATGATCATTGCAGTCTACGCGCAGCCATAAAATAGACAGGTCCGCACCTTCAAGAATTCCAAGGCGGCGACAGCAGATATCCTCTCTGACATACGCGCATACACCGGCACGCGAAACAAAACAATGTTCAAGTTTATATCCCGGGTACGTCAGGTATGAAGTTTCGTTTGGAGAGGATATCTGTGTCTGATAATGCCGGCCGCGCCGTTTCTAGGTGGTGGTGAACAGCGTTTAATTTTTCTAGAAGCTCACATTGAGCGAAGGGGACAATCTTGCTTCGTTTGCCCTTGGTTCCAAAGAGCGGAATTTTGCCCCCCCAGAATACGCAGGGCAGCCCGAGCGTGGTTGCTCGAGAGAGGATTCTCCAGCAACATGGTTACTGGTACCTCCCTGGGGTATGTTATTTTTTTTAATTCCACTGCCATGGTTGCGTGTTGTAAGATAGGGGGACGGGGTTGGGGAAAGGATTTTAGGAATAGGAAAGGGATGGGTATGGGATGGGTATGGGATGGGCCTCCGGACTCCCTCACTCCACACCATACGGAATGTGATCGCACTAAAAGTGCAACCACTTAGCGTCGGTATTCTGTGAGGGTGTGGTACTTCCCCGGTCGAGCCGGCCCATTCATGCTGCAATACCATATAGGATTACAGCGTGGCTCTACCACAATAAAATAGTAATAGGGATTAGCAACCTCATTGCTAGCAATAAACCCTATCAGGTCGACCTCCACGCGGTTGCCCCTGAAAACCATCATGATTGATTCGTTGTTGAATTTGTTACGGTGGGCTAACTGACCTACTTCATTCTCACCTGTCATCCCTCACTGGTGCCCCGCCAGCGTATACCGATAGCGCAGGCGGGGTTGCCATTCCATTATCATTCATTAAAAAAAAATATATTCAGCAGTGGTCGGTAAACGGCTGATATGGCATGATAACCACGATAGTTTCCTGGAACACCATACAGAGGCCCACTTAGCTAAATATACCTTATATTGCTAGAAATGAGGCCACTAGTCTCCCTTTACTGACATTTTTCTAGATATGACAATTATGTGCGCAATTATTCACGGCAAGCTCTTTGTAGGATTTGAAGGAAGGACCCTAAAGCCCTTAGGTTTGTAAATATGGCAAATACCTAAAAAGGTCTAAGGACCGCAGGCTATTCTACGTGCTGTCCTTTCATAACTCGTCTCATGCATCCACGCCAGTCCTAGAGACTCTTGACTTCTCTCTCACATAGAACAAGTTTTATCTAATAATTATAGTATATGATGACTAGTTAACATGAATAAATCTCTTAAATGTCACTACGATTATTCACTTACCATTTTAGCGAGCATGGTGTCCATCTGTGGTTGGTGAGTAGCAGTGAGCAGCTGTCGTATTCTGGAGGCATTGGCAACGCACTGTGCCATGCAGCGCTGCAGCGCGGCCGCCTGCCGGACGAGCGCGGCGCTGAGCGGGACGCCGTCGCCGCCGCCGCCGCCGCCGCCGCGCAGCACCGTCTCCAGCACGTGCGCGTGCTGCGACACGAAGTCCAGGCACCGGCGGAGCTCCACTGCCTCGCGACGCTGTCGCTCTAGTGGACAAACAATCAATCTACTGTTACTATTGGGCAATTGTACTGCTGCAGAAAGTAACTAAACTAATGAGATCTTTCTTTAAAATATTCATATTGAATTTATATAATATATAAACAATTGAATTAAATCACTGGTCTAATGAAGAAGAAAATGGAACAAATGAAATTACAAGGCATAAATCAATTTACAATTGCATACAAATTTTTGTAAATTGTGTCAGGATTTAAAACGAGATTGTGGCTTCTGAAGTGTTGTGCATTATGGGTAGCTCCTAGCAGAGCGCATTGTTATATTGTATATTATCAATCTCCTTGGGTGCCACCCAAGTTTATTGTTTTGCTGTTAGTACAGTTTGCCCAGTCCATCACCATCTACTAAATGCATTTATTAGTAAAACTTTGATCTTGCAAAAGTTGTAAACTGGCAGAATAAATGGATTTTTAAACAAGCAGTGCCCGCTTATCTTGACAAATTGTTTACATATTATAATATGTATATATATATAAATGATTATCAAATAACAACATACAACAAAATATACTAATGATATATTTGATACTAATAATATATATAGATAATACATTTAAATAAATATATGTGTACTTATATGTTAACAAAGATATAAAAGAGTTACTGTAGAGTTTTTTGTGGGCTCTTCTTTAAAAAAAATTAGGATTAAAGTGCTTGTAAACAAGTTTATTTGAACAAAGATGATTTGAATTTGATAATGTCATGAAAGGTGAAGATATGTCCAACAAAGACAAACTAGAGACAAATGACAATCTCTTCTTAGAAACTGTATACATCAGAGATGGGAATGTTAAGTAACCAGAAAAAATAAAACAACAACCCATAAGCACAATCTACAAATTTTTTGCAGCACCAGAAGAGAAACTTTGAAAGATGTACAATTTAATGTTAAATTAGGAATTAATAACAGTCAATTTTTTACCATCTCATAATAAAAAATTAGGTTCCATAATTGTTTTTCTTTTGTTTACAGAATTTAATGTTTTCTGGTATTAGGTACACCAGCGCTTCTATGTAAGAATAACAAATATGCCAAATAATATATTATCACCAGTGATAAAAAAAATCCTTTGCTATAATTTTAGTATATTAATAGTTAGAAATAATTGAATTGCATTCTATTTGAGAATATTTTTATTTAATAAACACTGCTTTTGTAAATAAATGCAATAATGATTATTTCAATAACTGTAATATTTACAATAGGTTTTTAGATTTGATCGTCACAATATCCATCACATGATCTTGAGCATATATATTGTACCCAACCAGTTGCAAAAATTTATAAATATACGAAAGGAATTGTACTTCATTACTAGTAGGTACGTTAATGCAGACTATTATTGGTTACTATTCTAAATAATTATAAAGAAATTTTAACTATTTATAAAAATAGGCGGCAAAATAGCAAGACAAAATTCATACCATGAAAATCATATATTCTTTGAGTTCTTCTTAAATATTTCTCCTCTTGGAGTTGTCGGTCAAGCTGTGCTTGTTTTTCCCTGGTTTCCAAAACATCGAGAAATGAGGAAAATAAAGATTTCCTCTCGTTTGTGTTCGTAACGGTTTCTTGCATTTTGATAAGATAAAATGTAGATTTTAAGGTGAATTAATAAACAAATAGGGTATCTAGAATATAAAACTTTAAATTTTGAATGTTGTTTTTAAAAAATAATAACTCAAACTAAATGAGTTTAAAAAATAAATCGAAAGTAAATTCAAATTAAGACAACCTTTTTCAACCTATCACAAACAAGAACTGAATTTAAACTGACATGACATGAAAGCTTGATAAGAAATATACCATAGATTAGAAAGACAACAGAGCCCACAAAGCGTGGTTTACCACTACGTTATTTAAGAGTTGGCACTACTCTTATGTTGATTAAATTGAAAACTGAATTAATGCAGTTTAGAGGTATAAACACAATAAAATAAATTAATATTCTTTTTGTTTAATTATGCAACAGTACTAATATATGTTTATTTTTAATATACTCTTTTCGAAAATATGAATATCGGTAAGTTACAAAATAGTTATCTTCTTCACAGAGTAAAATTTTAAATTTAATAAACTGGTAGCATATATTATATACAGACGTATTTTATTTAAAGTGATGTAGACCTGCTTAATAAAAACAAACCATAAGGTACAAATTCGTTGTTTTTAATTTGAATTTCGAACAACTCAGCTAGCCATAAAAATGTTTACTTATATAAAAAGTAGATAATTTCTTTTCTCAAACTAAAGTTTATTTAAATTGGTATATTGAGTGTTTTCGTACATTCGTAAAAAGTTGATATTCTTATTCTATGTTTATAATGAATGTCAATATGACAACTACTGACATTATGACAGCATGACATGACAACTTGCAGGTAATTTTATTTACAACAAAATTTTTAATTTACATCTAACCATTTTCAACAAAGTTCGCGGCTGTCACCTGAATTTTATTCATAAATCTGAAAATTTTCAATACAATACGTTTAGAAAATGGCAAGAGAAAGCAGTGCCGGATTTGATAGACATATTACGATCTTTTCGCCTGAAGGGAGACTTTATCAAGTTGGTGAGTAGTTATTTTTTTATAAGGCAAAAAATGCAAACCAAATGAATGCTGTATTTAATATTGTTTTTAAATGAAATGTTGCATATTCATAAAGTAATAAAGTTATAGATGTCGATTTTAAGCTTAATATTTATTACTGTTCATAATAACATCTCTGAAATATTCTTGAGTTAGATTTTATTGAGGTTATAATCGTAAAATTGAAACGTCATGCCCAAGTTAATTCACTTGATATGTTTTAAAAGTATAACGCCTTTGCTTTTATAAACAACTTTTCTAACATTAGAATAAACCGTCTCTTAGTGTATCCACTGATTGTGTAGGATATGTAAAGAACGAAAATCCATATTAATAATGTTTATTATGTGATGTTACAGAATATGCTCTGAAAGCTATCAATCAAGGCGGGTTAACATCGGTGGCTCTGCGCGGCGTGGAGGCGGCGGTGGTGGCGGCGCAGCGTAAGGTCCCCGACCGGCTGCTGGACCCCACCTCGGTCACACACCTGTTCCCACTCACTAGCCGCATTGGTTGCGTTATGACAGGCATGATAGGTAACGACCTGCATATTACCATCATTGTGTGAGTTATCATCATCATCTTCCTACCCTTATCCCAATTATTATTTGGACTCAAACATAATATGTTTCTTTTTTCCGTTCTCTATTTACAGCCATTTTTGCATTCACTTCCATTCTGGCCATATCTTTCACACAGTCTATCCATGTCTTGGATTTGTGAGTGTACTTTAATATTTGTATAGATTGTAGTAGCTTTATTGTAAGAAAAAGAGCAAAAGCAGCATGTAAGACTGTTATCATAGCTTTGTGTATTTGTTTATTGTTTAACTATTGGTATTTATGTATTTTTTTATTAAATTAGATTTATCGAATCTATAATCAGTTGTTTCAACCTGCTATCAGCAGTATCTTTGCATTGGGATACATTGCAATGTGTAGACATACCTTCTTATTATTAGACTGCATTATTAGGTACTATTTATTTCGACTCTTCCAAATTAGCTTATGTGTGCTTTGAATTATCTATTTTTAAAATTATTCACCAAACATTGTGCCAATACATTAGAAATTCTTTTTATCTTTTAGTTGTATTTAGTTTTGAATAAAACCACATTTTTATATTTACTTATCAATTTACTTTCATGACACGACCCTTTATATTCTAATAAGTAAGAAATTAAAAGTTTTATATTTCTGATATCAATTTCTAGATTGTTTCATTTCATATGTTTAGCATTTGTCAGCTCCAGTCTACACATTGATTATAAGTATAAAGTAAATATTTTTTTTCTTAATGATTGCAGCGGACAGCAAATCTCAAGTGCAGAGGGCTCGGTATGAAGCTGCTAAGTGGCAGTACAAGTATGGCACAGAGATACCAGTGCATATCCTGTGCCGTCGTATCGCTGACATTTCACAGGTGTACACACAGAATGCTGAGATGCGTCCGCTTGGATGCAGTGAGTACTCTTCATCTCAATGTATTTTGGATTTGGTTCTAAACTGGCAGAGATATGTATGAATGAACTTGTCAGATATCTGTGCATGTGAGGTATTTTAGAAAAAATTATATGGATGGTTTGATTGAGACTCATGCTTGCCTATTACATACTCACTAAAATATGTATTTTTGTAGCATTTAGTAGCTCTGGCTAGGATGACATCTGCAAACTTTTTTTTATAAATTACCCACTTTACTACAATAATTACTAAAAACTTTGTCTGTCGGTATATTTGTTCTAGCATCATGCAAAAACTACTACATCAAAAGAAGTGATTTTTACTGTTGTATACCTGAAGATTTAACTTAAAAACTGACATATGTTTTATCTTAGCATGCCATCTACAAGTGTTCAGTTTAATTGGTTTTCCTACTTCTGATATCTATGTGTATTAAATAATGGGTCAAAAAGCTAGTTTATTTTTTATGCCACTTAGTATCACCTCGGCATGTGGCCCACATGACCATAAATGGTTACTGTGGCTTAGTTATAAAATCATTTATATTTTTATACCATAAATATTATGAACAAGTATACAGCCTATTTGATTGCAAAAGCTAACTGAAGAAACTGCACTCTAAAGACCATTTAGTTTAGGGTATTGAGAAATTAATGCATATTCATAATAAAGTGCTAAGATCACAAATAATATCAAATGTTGATGTTTAATCTAAAATATTGGGACATCTCGCCCACACTATGTCTTTAAACTACACATTGCTTTCCAGGCATGATGCTGATAGCGTATGACGAGGAGGCGGGCGCGAGCGTGTACAAGACGGATCCGTCGGGCTACTACTGCTCGTACAAGGCGGTGGCGGCGGGCGCGAAGGCCACCGATGCTAACGCCTACCTCGAGAAGAAACTGAAGAAGCGCGCCGACCTCGCCACCGACGACGCTATCCAACTCGCCATCTCGTGCCTCTCGCAGGTGCTCTCCGTCGACTTCAAGTCCTCCGAAATCGAGGTCGGGGTCGTCAGCAAGGACGATCCTAAATTCCAGTTAGTATTCACTTGTCATTTAGTAGTCTAAATCACAATTATTGAATCAGAGAGCTCATTATATCCATTTTACGCTCATTTGTGTGGTATCATAGACTATCTTATGATAAACTTATGAATAAAGAGCTATGCTTGCATGACTGTTATTTGATGAATCAGGCGATGTAATTTTATAAAGCTGATCATAGCTCAATGTAATTATGCACTGGATTTATAATTATTGTAAACACACATGTTATCTTTTCACCAGATGCCCAATTAATGCTATATCAGCAATTTTAAAAAATTATGTAATTCGTTTATTTGCAGTGTGCTCTCAGAGAGTGAAATCGACCGACACTTGACGGCCATCGCTGAAAAGGATTAATGACATCATAATGATAAATATTTAATTTTTTTAATAAACCTCACACACCTAACTTGTCTTTTATTTTGACATTAAGTTCCACGGGGATCCTATATTGATATATCGCCATGAAATAATGGGTTTTAAAATGTGTTTATAAAACTTTATTTCATGTTAATTACCTAATTACATGCTACAAACTAAAAACAATCTATTATGCTTGTACACCTAAATTAAGTATAACAATTACATCAATGAATAAATTGATCAAAGTTCACACAATTAGTTTCGAAGTCCGTCTTCTCATTCTTGATCATCACTAAATCAATGAGCGCACAATATCTGGGTCTGTACAAGTATTTATTAGTCCATTGAAAATTATGTATTCAGCTATTACTCGTCACTGGCTAAATCAGTCAGCATACCAATATTTGGCAAATCTTTTAAAATATCTCGGGGTAGATCCGTGACCACTTTAGTGAAATTTTGGAGGCTGCAACAAAACGCGAGCCCGTACACGGGGGTCTCGTAGTTGCGGTTCCTCTTCAGGTCGTGGAGCCAGCCGACGCTGGAGCACGCGCTCTCGCAGAACACCGCGTTCCTGATCTCGCTGACGGCCACGAACGGGTCGTTGAGCACGACTACGGCCAGCGCCTTCCTCCGGCGGGTGTCGACGACCAGCGTCCAGATGTACTCGGGCACCGGGAACCGCTCGCCCGCCTTCAGGTAGAGGGCGGTGCGGTCGCGGCCGGCCCGCAGCTTGGCCACGCCGCGCGTGCCCGCCAGCAGCGCGAGCGTGGCGGGCGCGGCCGGCGCGTGCAGCGCGCGCGCCACGTCGCGCTGCACGTGCCGCAGGTTGCCGAGCGCCACGCTGCGCCACACGGCCACCCTGTTGGACACGAAGTCCGCGACGCGCATGTTCTGGTCGTCGAAGTAGTGCGAGCCGAGCAGCCTCGCGGCGGTGAGCGCCTGGTCGGCGAACGAGTGGCGGTCGTGGCGCAGCAGCTCGCGCAGGCGGCGGTTCATGCGCGCGTCGTCCGAGTACAGCATGGCGGCGTCGTGGCGGTTCTTCGCGTCGAACATGTGGTTGAAGTTGCCGAGCAGCGTGAGCGGCGCGGCGCGGTGTGTGTGCGGCGGCAGCGGCGGCGCGCCGCCGGCCGCGAGGCGCGCGAGCCGCGCCAGCCCGCGGTCGGCGTCGAAGCACAGCGCCGCCAGGTGGCGCACGCCGCCGCCCGCCTGCGTCTGGTACGCGCGGCCTTGCAGCGGGGGCGCACAGTCCGCCACCTGTCCATATTAATTATATTACTAATTGTTTCTTAGACTCGATTAAAATCACAGTTAACAAATTCCACTGTGTCACTTTTTTAAATGGATAACAATGATATGGTTTTTTGTGGAATTCGTCTCACTAGGCTAATTAACCTGCTTTCATTCTCACTCACCATTTCTCACTGCTGCCTCGCCAACGTATACTGTTAGCGCAAGCAAGATTACCATTCCATTTTTAAAAAATCTACTGTCTAGATTACCTACTATATCAATATTTGAAGTTAGAACTCCTCGTGCATGATGCAATATCAGAACCAGAATCCAATGTAACACATGAGACATATGTCGAGACCGACGCATAAATAGGTGAAGCTAGCGAGCAACCTCGTGCAAGACGTCTTCAAACACGTTCTCCTGGCAGCCGAGCTCTATGAGGTGCCTGAGGGCGCCGTCGTGCCGCACCCGGTAGCGGCCGCGCTCGCACACGGCGGCCAGCGTGTCCCGCAGCGGGTACGCGAGGAACTTGCCGCCGCTGCACACCAGCATCAGCTCGTCGCCCGCCTCCACTACGATCGTGCCGTTGGCGGCGCGGTGTGACGTCACCAGCGGCATGTTGTCCGGGATGCACTCGGCGCACTCCAGCTCGATGACACATGGCGCTGCAACATTTACACCAGTACTATAGTAATCACACCTGCTCCTCATGCTGGGGACGTAGCCTACGTTACATCGTACATATAATAATAAATTCTCCATTCTTGATATTTTGAACACTAATAACGCCACCTTTAGAACATCCGTTATATAAATTTTAAGTACCTACTTACCTAATTTTAAATACATAACTAGATGCATTCTTTTTTTACTAAAAATAATAAAAATATTACAATATTGATAGTTTGGTTGGGAGAATATATTGGTTATAGCAACATTAACACTAGTTAGTTGCAGTATTGATATATACTGCTATACAGCTCACATTATGTATACATGATTGTATACATAACGTGAGCTTTGTGAACGCTTACTTCTTAGTAAGGAATATTTTATAAATTTTAATTCCATAATTGGCTGTAAGTACTAAAAATTATAATAAAATATCATAGATTATAAGAACTGTGGATTTTTTAATAATAAATAAATAAATATAATAAGTTAAATAAATAAATGAGCTAGAGAACAACAAGAGGCAATGAACTCCTAGGCGATACAACCCAGTGTGATCTAGTAGCAAGGTATAACATATTAACATAGTAAAATCAGTGTTTTACTCGATCTTGGGGGTTTCAATCGACACTTCAAATTCCGTCAATACTGATGTATTCACATCATCGAGACCTGAGCCAATTCAGAAAAGTTTACTTGACCCAACCGGGAATCGAACCCATGACTTCATTTACGCAAAACAACATGCCTATTACTGTCACGGATTTTTTAAATGAATGATAATGGAATGGAAGTGAAATAGTAATGCTGGGCTACCTTATACAATATGACGATTTTTTAAAGAGCATACTAGAAAAAAAATAGAGGGCAAAAGAGGAAGAGGAAAACCGAGGTAACAAACAACAACGAGGTAAACATAGAACAAATACAGGAAACACTAGGTGTCATGTCGTATAGGGAGGTCAAGGATATGGCCTGGGATAGAGCTGGCTGGAAGAGAATGCATGAACTGGTTGCACCGACAAGAGGAAACTCTTAAAAAAATACAATGCTAATCCCGCCTACGGTGTTTATATATGGTGAAGAACTAGTGAGAGATGAGAATGAAAAGGCAAGTTAGCCCATCGTGATGAATGCACCTGGCATTCAGCACGATGGTTTCCAGGGAGGGACCACGTGGAGGTCGACCTGGTAGAGTATATAGCTAGCAATGGTACTGGTAGTCCACATTATCTATTACTTATTACTGTTATATATTACCAACAATAATTCCCCCCCCCCCCCTTTAAAAGTATGATTACCCAACACGAGTCTCACTTGTTAGTAATGGAGACTGAGAATCCCATTGCTAGCAATATACCCAACCAGGTCGACCTCCTCGCGGTTCCCCCTGGAAACTATCATGATTAATTCCTGATGAATTCATCATGATGGGCTAACTGGCCTGTTTTCATTCTCATCGATCACCCTTCACTGGTGCTCCGCCAGCGTATCCCGTTAGCGCAGGCGGGGTTACCATACCATTTTCACCCATCAAAAAAAAACACGAGTCTGACTGGTCGATACAAGTGAGTCATTTCAGTTATGTTTACAGTTAAACTACAGTGTGCCCTTCGGAAACTTTTAACAACAAAAAAGTTATTGTTATTGAAAGCGATAACTATAGTAATAGATAAATAGACACAAGAATAGATACGGCTCGCCCTTGCATCGATAACGGCCAGACCCGGCCGTATTGTACAGGCATTTTTCTTGTCTACGATTCATTTTTAAATAATATATTTTTATCTATATAATTCGTTAAAATATTTGTGAGAGGGGATTGTTAGTAATGCGGACTACCAGTCCCATTGCTAGCAATATACTCTAGCAGGTCGACCTCCACGTGGTCCCCTCTGGAAACCATCGTGTTGAATTCCAGGTGTATTCATCACGATGGGCTAACTAACCTGCCTTTTCATTCTCACATATCATCCCTCACTGGTGCCCCGCCAGCGTATACCGTTAGCGTAGGCGGGGTTACTATTTCACTGTCATCCATAAAAAAGTATTTGTAACTAACAGTTATCCGTGACTTTGCCCATGTATAGATTAGTCGGCAAATAATAATACCTAATTGTTATTCTGTTGTTACTTCATTTTTTTTATACAACTTGGAATGGCAAACAAGCTGACGGCCCACCTGATGGAAAGTGGTAACCGTCGCCTAATGACATGTGCAGTACCATGGACATAACAGAGTATACTGTATCGCACATGATACTCCCATGCGTTGCCATTCCTGAGGACTCAGGTGTTATTCCTCTGTACCCAGTAATTTCACGCCATACCCCACCCTTTAAACCGAAACACAGCCATGCAAACACAACTGCTTCACGGTTGAAACACGAATGGGACAGAGGTACCCAAGCAATCGACTTTTGTACAAAGTCTCCCTCTAGTTCACCTATGAAAGGAACGAATATTCGTATTATTTAAAATAACATTTATCATTACTTAGATTATTTTTCAAAATTAGGTTGGTAGGCATCTCTCATGTTTTTTTTAATTAACTTCAAAATAATTAAAGATGACACAAAAAAATGACTTTAGTTGTGATAAAACTAGTTACTTTGATATAAAACTATTGAACCGATTTTGTTTCAATTTTTATGTAAACATATATGTATATAAGTAAATATTTTCAGATGAAACATAATTTTCCAAACCGGTTTCAAACTAACAGAGTAATGGGGTCACATACATATAAAAATACAACTGAATTGAGGACCTCTTTCTGTTTGTAGTTGGTTGAAAGTGTCATTGTGGTTTTATAAATCTCATAACTCCTAGTTCATTTACAAAATTATTCTTTATCTGAAAGGATACACTTTCAGAATGATCATGAGATCAATGAAGAAATTTCATCAAAATCGGTTCAGTACATTTGACATATCAGAAGAGTTTGTAATAGACCTACATGAATAAAGATATTTTGAATTTGAATTTGAAGTAGTTTAGTATATATATATAGTTTATATTCAAAATAACTGTTTTGCCACCATTGAAGTCGGTATTTGTTTTGTAGAATAAAATCTATTGACTCAGAAACAAAATGATAAAGTAGGTACGAGAAATATTGTTAATTAATCATACACATCACACACACACACACACACACACACACACACACACACACACGTGGCCGCGCATTCATATTTCACAATAAAATTTTTTTTATATATATATATATATATATATATATATATATATATTAATTGATGTATATCTGTATACATATGTGGGATTATAACTAAACTGTAAATTAGGAAGGCACTGGCTTATGACATACAGTAAACCCTAGTTCAGGAGTCAGGACTACATTTAATATTATTATTTATAGTTCAATAAAAAGAATATTATTAGAAATAAAATGTAAAAATACTTACAGTCAGCAAATGCGGCGTATTTAAAACAAAACACAATTAAAACAACACGTAGTACGAAGTCCATGATGCTCGCTCACGGGAACAGTGTCACTGGGAAGCCGAGGAGCGACTGAGCTGTACTATCGCTCCAATGACCCGGCAGCGGCGTTGTGCTGATAACAAAGGGCACAGGGGCTACGTGCCCGGGGACAAACAATAACATGCCTCATTCGGTGCAGACCTATTTCACGTGGTTACAATACCCACTATTATAGAGGGTGCATTGCAGGTAGAATAGCTACAATGAGCACTCCATTGTCAAGACAAATTAGCAAGAGTATCTACCTACACAACTCTTCGTTAACCTTAGAGATTTCAATAATAATCGTATTTCTTTTCTAAGGACTTTCTAAGGACTCAGATGTTATTCCTCTGTACCCTGTAAATTCACGCCATATCCCACCCTTCAAACCGAAACACAGCCATGCAAACACAACTGCTTAACGGTATAAACACGAATGGAACAGAGGTACCCAAGCAAACGACTTTTGTACAAAGTCTCCCTTTACTTTGAGACCCACTGCCCGACTTACTGTGCTAAATAGCCGGCAGCATCCTTACAATGATCGCGTGTTATTTTTCTTTCTATAAATTTAATTGATCAAGTAATAAATAAGGAAAATGGTATTTGCCTACGGCGTCAATAAAAATACAAGGACAAAGTAATTAACAAATAAAAACAACCGATTACGATAGGTATTTTAATATGAACATAATATACAATGGCGATGTTTATTTATAAAAGCAGGTAAAAACCGACGAGACACATACACCGTACGATAAAATAGTTAATTTCTTCACCTTCAACGTACATAATTATTACATCGAGTAATTATAGAGTTACTACTTAAATTACCTATGACGTGCAACTAGTTTTGTTAAAATGCCACCCCAGCTGCAGCGAGGGCGCCGCAGGTTTTAACACAACTAGCAGTGTGTCGTCTGACACATTCATTGAAATGATTATATCACTGTTCATCATTTTATAGTATAGTAGAAAAAATTAATTTGTAAATGCACAACTTTGGTGCGTGTGCGTCGCGCGCAGACGCCACAATCTGCGCATGTCATTTACATTAGCTTAAAATAACAACTAGGGCTGATGAACGCAACGTCTGAATAGCGACTGCCCCAAACATTGCAATGTGAAGTCCCTACAATACTAGAATCAAATAAACATGGAAGCATTCCCGAAATTTTAAGTAGCACGCCTCAACATTAGCCGGCACCGAGAACTAAACACGTACCAGAATATATTATATTACACTCTGGCAACACATAGCGTGAATTCATTGTCTACATGCACAAGTAATCAAGTAATAATATTAAAATGCATACACCTGACAAGGATAACTAACAAATGGTCAGTTCTGATCAACTGTATCAAATGTCTTAGAAAATTCATATCAACACAAAGCTGTGAATAAACAACACATTGGCGTGAGAATTGAAAAGCACCAAAACGATATAATAACAACAATACATAATATACTTAGTACGTAATAGCTAAGCTTATTCTATCAAATAATTTCATGAAAACGTTGTTGTGTACGATTAAAGATTATTGCACAATGAAAATATATTTAATTGCTTAGATCGGCATTTACAAATAATATTTTGGTAATTTTAACTCGAACATTTAACAGTCACACACAAGTTTCGACAAAAAGAAAAATTAATTTACAATAATGAAAAAAAAATTATCGTTGACACACAATGACTGAAACAATTACATATTTAATATAAAAACATGATTGACCGTTGAGAAAAGGTGTAAAAACAATACACATGGAATTTCTAACATTTATAGAATTACAAAGTGACGAGAATGATCGTAACTATAAAAAAATATATGTAGTTGTTGTATTTTATATTGTGTAGAGTTGGCGACTTATTCAAGCGCTAAACGTAACTACTGGTGCAGTTCTGTTCATTGATAATTGTCACATCATGCCAATGCACAGAATTCCTTACGCGACAAAGCGACGTCGGCTAAAGGCAGCTTTACATTATATCAGTACAAGTTACTGATTCAAGTTTATTACAAACTCATTAGTGTGCTTATTATAAAATCTGTAAAACGATGTCTCGTCGGTGCTGACTTGAAATGTCCTTCGTATACTATGTCAGTACACCACTAACGCTGACTCAATGTAAATCTGCCTCTAGGTTTGTTATTGGCTACAATCTCGAGCCAAGTACGTGTTGACAAACTTTTGGCCTCGTCTAACTTGATTTGATATCAATACATATCATGCTGATGATATTTCCATTGCATGTTTTGAAGTCACTAACGCTTATAACTGAATAAATGTAAGTCTGCCTTAACAGGATTTTCAGAATGTACACAAAATTCTGGCTCCCATAAACTGAATTTTACCACCGCAGCACGGTGCCACCATAAACAATAAACAACGACCAGCCTAGAGATTGGAAACGGGGGTAAACAATATAGACGCGCCGTCATCAAGGTCACTAGCGACAATAACGTGGAACTCTCTAGACTCTTCGTTGTCCCAACCACTCCACTGCCGCCTCCGTATTATTTCTTTAAGAGAGTTTATAAGCACATTACTAGTAATGTCTGTATTAAATGTTTATCGACGCTTTATAGCGAACTTAAATGTTCTGTTGGACTACCACTAATTTTTTTATTTAGTTTGTAAGAATGTATTCAAAATTTTTAAAGAACAAAAAAATATTAAATGGTTATAAAATTGTATATTAGTGGCAGATTTTGTTTTAGGACATTTTAGGACAAAAAGCAGTTCTTTTTTTAAATCATTAGTTTTGAAACCTGATAAACATCTATACATACATTGCTAGAGTTCGGTACGATATATTTTTTTTTATTATGTATGTATTTAAAATACGACACGGTACAAGCTGTTGTAGTCTAAAATAATTAGAGATATCATATATTCATTACACACCCTTCATGCCGAGTGTACGTTGGCGGCGCGTGGTGTGTGTGGCGTGGTGTGGCGAGCGTGGCGAGCGTGGCGGCGGTGGTGAGCGTGGCGGGTGTGGCGAGCGTGGCGGGCGGCTTACGAGCAGCAGGCGCGGGCGGGCGGCGCGCGCGAGGGCCGGCGCTCGACGGCGATGCGCGCGTGGTCTGCGTCGGCGTCGCGGCCCGCCGTCTTGTCCAGGATCGCCTCCGCCAGCTCAGAGAACGCGCGGTCTATGTTGATGTTCGCCTTCGCCGACGTCTCCATGAAGCGGATGCCGTGCTCGCGCGCTATCTGTACCGTCACACCGCAATTTAAGTAGCAGGTCGAGGTTCGAGGCATAGACGATAAGAGAACAGTTTCAGAGGAACCATGTTATGAAGTCGCCTGGTCGTGGTGCTGCTGAATTAGCCCTAAGATGCCAACGGCCTCATCGCGTCGTGCGTAGTGGGATTTCAGAGCAGTTTTCTCTATTATAAATATCGTAGAACGAGCTACCGTACTATCCGATATGGAGAAATTAAAAGCAAACAAAAATAAATAAATATTTAAAAATATTTTCAATAATTCACTGTTTTCAAAAATTCTTATTTTTACAATTTGTAAATAAATATAGAAATTTATCATTTAAAAGTATGTATCATATTTCTAAATGATATATTATTTAATGACGCAACAGTACGCAATAGTGTACAACGTCAACGAGTGAAATCCACTCAAATGTTTCTCAGTTTTTTTTAGATAAGTCACGAATCACAAAGCGTGTTCGGCAGATTGTTAACATTGCCTTAATGTTAATTAATTTCTAATTTTCACGAGCGCTCGGTAAACCTGTTTGTATCGCTCGCTACATACAATACATTGTTACAACACAACTACGCGCAGAACAATTGCTCTGTACAACTATAATGGATGCGTCACATATATTTTACGCATTTGTTAGTACATAATCCAAAGAATATTCTTTATTATACTATTATGAATAACATATTTGTGGAATGAAATTATATAATTTTGTTAGAAGAATTTTAGTTTAAATTTTAATTTCAAATTAGTGAAATACTTCCATAATTAGATCTCAAAGGGAAGAATGAAGACTATAACAATCCAAATAAAACCAGCATGCTGTTTGTAATATGGCTAATGTCCGTTGCTGAAAATGAGCCTCCCCTTTGAGAGGTTGTGCACGTAGTTGCCACGCTTGGCAGGCAGATTGGCAAGTGCAGTTAGGCTTTAGAGATGTTTTAAGAGGGACGCAGTTATCCATGCCTCGCCCTTCTTTAGTCGCCTCTTACGACACCCACGGAAAAGGAAAGGGTGGCGTATTTTATGCCAGAACTACATGGACAAAAACGGAAAACAGATCTAATTCCAATTAATTATAACTGTGCCATCAGTCAGTTATGTGATTAAGTATTTTTTTTATACTACTAAGGTGGCAAACATGTATACAGCCCGTCTGATGGTAAACGGTTACTTTAACCTATAGACGCCTTCAACTCTAGGGGTGTCACATGCCCATTGGCAAATATAGTATGAAATACAAAAAGAAAATATTTCCAACTGGAACTTCAGTTTTTTGTTAAATGTAGTTTGGTTCATGAATATTTTCAGTATTTAATTTTTCACAATATCTATTATATTATTTAACGGCCCTTTCTATCATATACCTATAATGCAATGACACCACCTTTTGTACTACACTACACTTATCGAAAATTGTTCAACAAATCCAACAAATTGGTGAAATAAAGTGTTAAAAAAAATAAATAAATAATACCTTATTAACCCTTAGTGCTCTGCACTTTTTTGTACTACTGCCTATCAGCAACTCCAGCAACAATGGAAAACCAAACACATCTTCTCTACCACTCATCTCTATATTCTCATCATAATAATTATTTTTCCCCATGTTGCTAATCATAAAATTGGTCAAATAATGATTCAATCATTACAGTAGCGAGACTGAGCACTTTTTAACTACAGATAACAATTGTCAAAGCAGACGATTCCATAACATGTTAAGACTACTCATGCTAAAAACATTGGGGCCTCGCAGTGGACCCTATGGAGTGCTAAGGGTTAAGCTAATTTTTTTAAAAGCTATTAAGAAAAGTAATAAACAGTGTACTGACCGCCTCGCCGCGGTCCTTGCTCACCACACGTTTTTCCTCCATGTCACATTTGTTTCCCAATATCATCTTTTCTACATCTTCATTAGCATGCTGCAAATCAAGTAAGGATTTTTTAGCATTCTTCTGGTAAGAATATAGGTCATTAATGTTATATTTGGCACTCATGCAAGGTAACCGATGTGTGAATAGGTGTGCCCTTCTTTTCTTTGTTAGACTATGTATACACCACATATGTATTTCTTACTCTACTGCTTGTTTGCTTTACAGGAGTGGTGCATATTAAACTGTTTCTAGTCTAGCGAGATTGCATGTTATAACTGGAAGTGTTTTCTAGGGAGGTAACCATTGAATTTAACAACTGCAAGCTTTCATTTTTAGTAAATCAAAGGACAATGGAAACTGATTATCTTTTTATGGGTCCTGCCAAAGATATCTCATACAACTAATAAAAGTGATTGTTCTAAAGTCACTGCTAAACAACCAACATCAAGTCTAAAATATCCAATTTATTCTTACAAAATAATACCATTGAATTTATTTTGATTTAAAAACTAAACCACTGAATTAATTTGATAAATTTTCTATGATTTCAAACTGTAAGCATATTTTTTAGATAAAAAAAAATCCAAAATGATTTCTACTGATGGAGTTTTGAGGTAACAAATATAAAAAACAATACAACCTAATTGAGAACCTCCTACTTTTTGAAGTCGGTTGAAAAATTCCTTTTAATGATGTATATCAGTTTATAAATACACAAATTATATTAACAGTGTTTAACAGGTAAACTATTTAGCATTATAATTAGGAAACAAAGAGGAATTTAATACACTTTGGAAGTCTTATTCCATAGAAAAATCTAAGGGCCTACCATGAAATAAAATTCAGAATTTTTGGGCTCAATTTAGTGTTTTTGTTCGTATCAAAATCGACCCAGTAAATGGAGCTTAATGTTTCGTTCATCATAAATCCTATCCTAATAGTCCAGAGGAACAATATTTTAATATTTTTAATAATTTAAAATGGAATGTATTATGTAATTTCAACATCAAATTTCTATTTCATTTGTCCTGAAATTTTTGGAAAATATTTCATGGTACGCCCTCTGGTGTGGTTTGTGTATGTGTGTGTGTTTTTTCCATTATAGATATTAAAACACAGCCAACTTGCTGCCCAATGAAGACACCAGTCTTCTACAACTCTAGTTTATTGTTTACCATTATAATACAGTTGTTATGGAAAATAAAAAAATATTATACTTTGAATGCATCAATTATTTTTTGTTAATCAATCAGAAAGTTTTGTATCAAGTCATTTGCATGAGGATAAGTTTAAATAGGCATGGGTATTCATATTTTTATCACCAAGTCACTATGTTAAAATGAATGTGTTATGGTTTTAAGATTAAAATGTGGTAATGAAATTACTATATACATAATAACCTGGTTATATCATGGATTGTCAATGTATATGAGGCAGAATAGATGGTACAGTGTATTATGATGTAATGATGCTATTTATTTTGATAGGTAACAGGTGCCCAGGTAACTGGTTGATTAATGACTGTTGTAAAAGTAAATTTTGAAATAAATGTCTGTAAATTATAATTACTGCATATTTTGAATGTTTGTTATTACATACATGTAATCTACCACTAATTGCAACACCCAAGCAGTGTTTATGTTATATACCTACCTATGCAACATGCATTTAAATAAAATAGTTGCCAATTAAAATATTTTGTGCTATTGTATTTTACAGTTTTAAGATTTTACTACTATGATCATATTTTAAGAATTTTATTTAATGATTAACTGAAACTAACTTAAATAGTTAGCTATAGGAATACTTTGCAAAAAGAAATATTGTTTTTAAAAAAAGCTACACAATGACCTTGTTGAAAACATATCAATTGTTAAGTATGTTTTAAAACCATGACTGCAGACTTCAGTACAAACATTTAAATAATGTATATATTATATATACATGATTATTATGTACTCTATGAGAGTACTTAATGTTTACCATGATGTTCATAATCACAGATAGTAGTTGTCAAATACCACACATAGTGGACCATCAATGAATTCCAAGTTGTATATAAAGATTTGTAAATACATTATGTACTGACCTCGTCTATATTTCTTAACCATTTAACAATATCATCAAATGTTTTTTCATTTGTTATATCATATACGAGCATAATGCCCATGGCGCCCCTGTAGTACGACGTCGTGATCGTGTGGAACCGCTCCTGACCCGCCGTGTCCCAAATTTGCAATTTAATTTTTTTGCCACGCAGCTCTACTGTTTTTATTTTAAAGTCAATACCTAAAAATAATATCAATTAGTCACATAGTTAAACTGGTTTGTAAAATAACATAACCAAATACAATGATAAAACATGTGCGGAAAGCAACTAGTAAATAATTAGTATTCAGTGAAACTAACTGCATTATTTTTGCGAGGGTGTATCAGGAAATAAATCTGTATAAAGTAAAGAAGTGGTCCTTACCAATAGTAGATATAAATGTTGTTGTAAAATGATTGTCCGAAAATCTGAACAATATACAAGTCTTCCCCACACCGGAGTCGCCAATTAGAAGAAGTTTAAATAACAAATCGTATGTCTTCTTAGCCATTTTAATGTATTAATTTACAAATAATGAAAAATAAAAAGGGTTGCTCTATGTGAGTACATCCGATATGAAAATGTGACAGTTCACCGTTTGTGTTGCTTGATTACAATAAATTTACCACAGGTTATCTAAACTATAGATAATACAAAAAAATATTACCTGCATTGGAGAGAGTTGTGATTTGAGGCAAAAAGAAACAATAAAATAAAGACTGAGAGTGGGTTGAGATATCTAACGTGCAGAGCGCTAGATTAATAAATGTTCATCATTCTTATTTATTTATTCACCAATAATTAACTCTGTATTGGATTTAGAAATCAAGTCTCTTAAGAAATCTCAAGAAACCATAATTTTTTACAGATTTTTTAATGGTTGTCTCCTTTCTTCTTATGCAAATATAATTAGTAAAAAAAGGACAAAAGTGCATCATCAGTAAATATTTTCCTAAATTCATAGCAGACTAGTGTATAGAAAACATGTATGTAAGCTTTTTTTTTGTTGATGATGTTAATTATTTGATCAATAAAGAAATATTACATCATGCTTTTATATATTCTAAAGTTTTTCAGTGTCAGCAGTATTCTGTATCTGAATTTTTGGATTATTCGACACATAAAATCATCCTTTGATATATCTTGATGAGTTTATCTCTAAATCTGTTGAAGCGGTAATTTTTTTTTCGTGATAAGAATTTTTCAAAAGATCTTTGAATTAAAAGTTTTGATTCTAGGTAGTGAAAGCAGCATTAATTTTAATGATTTTTTTTTAATGGATTATGTTATCGGCATAGACATATAATAACAGATATAAGCTTAAATTATGAGTTATGTTATACCAAGTTTATGGATATAGGATAAGGACAAGGAATCTCGTATAAATTTTGTACAAATATTCTGGAATTGACTTTTTTACTTAAATAGCATTTATTTTAGCAGTTAGAAAATCTGATGTCAGAATGGCAACACTATTTATGCCGCCATTTCAGTTGACTTTTTGGCAGCGTCCTTTTATCTTTTCATCGATTTTCAATTACTTTTTCCTTTCGTTTTATTCTTATGGAACTGTCTAGTAAAAGAAATCAATAATGAAAAAGTGGCAACCGTCTAGTTTTCATAGTATTTTAATTCATTTTTAGTTTGCTATTATAATATAAAGTAATGGATACGTAAACTGAAAGTGATCCACAAGTATAATTTTCAAACAAAATGCATCGACGAGGGGGAAAGCGTATCCGGATGGACGATCCTCCGCCAGAATATGTGAATCCAATGACCCCGGCCACACCTATGACGGATTATGGAGGACAATCTGTACATGAGCCCGAGACACCAAGTTATTCTGGTTTTAACGTCGGAGCAGTGGCAAACTCGACCGCTACTGAGATGGCGAGAGAGGAGGCGGAAGAATCTCACCACGAAGAGGAAGGAGCGAGGTCACCGTCTCCAGCGCCTACAAAACGGATAACTCGTAGCCGTGGACGAGGTGGTGATGGAGGGTACGTGGGACGATTGGCGGAGTCACCACCACCGCCGCCATTGCGCAGGCGCGGGCGCGGCGGTCGCGGCCGGGGCCGTGGGCGGGGTGCGGCTCCACCGCCTGCCTATTCACCTCCACCTGTACTTTTGCCCGGGGATGATGAAAACAGCCTTTACAATATTTTAAGATTCAATAAGACTGCTATAAATGTAAGTGCCAATATAAGTGTGATCTTTCCATGTAGAGTATACATAAGAGTTGCCTGCATAGATATGGGTATCCACTGACTAATATTTCTCTTCCACCCATTTTCTGCTCTGTTTTGGTTTGTAAGATGGGATGTGCCAGTGTATTTACAGGGTACTGAAACAACATTGTAGTCTTCAACAATGCCAAAGCATGAGATATTACAGTATTCCATAATATCCATGAAGCTGTTTATGTCTGTGGGCGATAGTCACTTTCCATCAGACAGGCCATAAGCTTCTTTGCTATTTATGTTTCATAAAAAAGTAACATTTCCTTACTACTGTAGCTATGTAGTATGTATTTTTAGCTGTACTCTGTAGCTTTACACTTGTGAAGATTATAATTCTTATTAACATATCTTAAGGTTAGGTCCCACTGACTCATATTAATAATTTTATATAGAAGCCAAATGGCATACCAAAATGGCAGTGTTGGAATTGACTCGCGAGGAGTTGACTTCTCATTGCATTAGTGTTTAGGTATGTTCTCTTATTACAATAGGCAAGACTATTTGGATTACAAATCATTCATGACTAAAAAATTTATGTTTTTATCACAATTTAAGTTTAATTTCAAAGATTTCAACAATGAGGGATTTCCCCATCAGCAAAATGTCTATCCTCAGTAATGATAGAATAATTTTCAATATTTCTGACCTGCTAAAAGGTAGCCTAATAGCAAAATAATAGTTCAGATGTGTTCATATACTATTCTGTGATTGTAGATGTTTATAATAATGTATAAATAAATTTTATAGCAAGTTGTGGATATGTGGATTGAGGAGTACAAGAGCAACCGCGAGAGTGCACTAGTGCAGCTGATGCAGTTCTTCATCAACTCATCAGGGTGCCGCGGGAAGGTCACGCCTGATATGGCCCAGATGGACCACACACTTATCATTAAGAAAATGACACAGGAGTTTGATGAGGTACTTTCTATTTTTTATCTTGGACTGACTTCAACTAGCACTTTACTGTGTACTATATTTTAATACATTTTTAGGATTTAGGAATTATATTTAAGACAAAAATATGTACATAAACATTGCTAAATAAGCTTTTTGATATCGGAAGTAGGAAAACAAATGAAACAGTTCTAGATAGAATATCAAGATAAAACATATACCAGATTTTAAGTTAGACCTTCAGAAATATAAATGTGGAAACCACATCTAATTAGGTACAGTGGTTTTTGTCTTATGTTGGAATAAATATACAGACAAAAAAAATCTAAAAATGACTGTTTTAGCATCTATTGCTCTAAGACCATCTCATACAAATTTTTCTTATACAACATATAATTGAAATTGTATGAAATTTTGCAAGGAACTGTCCTTGTATAGCTTAGGTGAATAGTGTTTTTAAAAATGTGTACTCTGAGGAATTAATTAGGTGATGATTTGTATGAAGTAAGTAAGTTTAACAGTTTAAATTGAACAGATTCATTTCAGTTGTGAATTCTAAAAGTCTATGTTACACTTTGTTACAGTATATGTTAATGATTTAATTTTCAATGGATTTAATTATTATTTTAACAGGAGAGTGGTGAATATCCACTGATAATGTCTGGTCAGACATGGAAGAAATTCCGGTCGAATTTCTGCGAGTTTATCCAGACATTGGTGAAGATGTGCCAGTACTCTATCATATACGACCAGTACCTAATGGATAATATAATCTCACTGCTCACTGGGCTCTCTGATTCTCAAGTGAGAGCATTTAGGCACACTGCTACTCTAGCTGGTGAGTATTGAGAAATCAAGTAAATGCTATAAATAAAACATTGAGTTTAAAAAAATTTTATCATCCTGTCATTGTATAATTGTCTATAGCAGGGGTTCCCAAATTTATTTTGTCTACTGCCTACTTTGAGAATATTATCTTTTAGTGCCCCTATTTGTTCATCTACATAAAAACCACTATTACTTTAAGATCAACAAATCATCCCCAAGCCTCTACACAACACCTTATTTTTTTTCTGGATCTCTTACTGCCTCCCTTTAGGCCTTCAGCTCCTTATGTATACAAGGGGGCACTATCACCCACTTTGGAAAAGGCTGGTCTATAGTCATTTTGTTGTTTTATCTACATCTTTAAAGCTGGAAGAAAAATGTTCTTAATTTATCAAAATTTTTATTTTGTGACTATATTCAATAGTTTTTTTGTTTTTTTTTTTTACAAACAATACTTCATGTTGGTCTAATTTGAATTTTATGACGATTAAAGTGGATATTTTTCCTTGTTGATCCAAAAATTGCTTGTTGGAAAATAAAATGTATAAATTAAACTATTTACAATGTCTTTAATTTATCAAATGTCTCATTTATTGACACATGTGTGTTCTCAATTGAAGTATCTTTTTGCTGATCAATATACACTTGTTAATAATACAACATGTACATTATGCGATCATTTAACGGTAGTGATGAAATTAATGACGGCGCTGGTGGATGTGGCGCTGCTGACGAGCGTGAACTGCGACAACTGCCTGCGCCAGTATGAGGCCGAGCGCCTGAAGGCGCGTGACAAGCGAGCCAGCGAGCGGCTCGAAGTGCTCGTCGCCAAGAGGCAGGAGCTCGAGGAGAACATGGAGGAGATCAAGAATATGCTTTCTTACATGTTCAAATCCGTTTTCGTGCATAGATACAGGTAAGAAAATGGCCGATGCACAAATCAAGGAAAGTTTGTATCAAGTGCTTGTAATGCATTTTCATAATGGTATTTATTATTTATTTATGTTGCCAGGGACACCCTGCCAGATATAAGAGCCATAACAATGGCTGAAATAGGCATCTGGATGGAGAAATTCCCTGCACACTTCCTTGATGATCTATATCTCAAGTACATTGGATGGACTCTGCATGACAAGGTGAGAGAATTATACATACTTTTATTACTCAAAAATACTATTACTTTTTATATTTGGCTTCTTTTTTTCCATACTTTAAAGAAATCTTATTGTCAAATTTTTAACACTATCTAATATATAAAATTTCAATTAATTGTTCAACATGATTGTAATGCAAAGAGGACTGTTTGCGTCAGGTGGGCGAGGTACGTCTACGCTGCCTGCAAGCGTTACAGCCGCTGTACGAGTGCGAGGAGCTCAAGGGCAAGCTGGAGCTGTTCACGTCCAAGTTCAAGGACCGCATCGTGTCCATGTCGCTCGACAAGGAGACAGAGGTCGCGGTGCACGCTGTCAAACTCGTTATCGCCATACTCAAGTGAGTGGTTTTTTTTTACTATTTTTAGGTGAAACTTAGTAGATCAACGAAGCAGAGGTATACAAAATGTAGAGTAAGAATGGAATATGTTACCACTTCTCCAAAGCTTTTAAAAATATATTTTCATTTGTGCACATGTGAATATTGTAATGTTGATGGCGACGGGCGGCGACAGGATGCACCCCGACGTGCTGACGGACAAGGACTGCGAGAACGTGTACGAGCTGGTGTACTCGTCGTGGCGCTCGGTGGCGGCGGCGGCGGGCGAGTTCCTCAACGTGCGGCTGTTCCGCGCCGACGAGCCGCCCGCGCCGGCCGCCGGCGCCGCGCCGCCGCCCGCCGCCTCGCCGCCGCGCAGCCGCCGCGGCAAGCGCCGCCTGCCCAACACGCCGCTCATCCGCGACCTCGTGCAGTTCTTCATCGAGTCCGAGGTAGGTTGCGCGATACCTGTATATATAAATACATACATTGATATACCCACTAATGGGCAAAACATTTTAAAATATTTGTGTAGGAAATATGTCATTAATCACTCGTACAAAATCTTGAATGGCAATTCATCCTGTATTTAACCTTATTGACAAAACATGCGCATAACTTTTTAAAACTATTCACTACTTTATTTAGTGTTAAAGAAGAAAGGACTTCTATAGACTTATGTTGCATGACAACCATATATCACAAACTTCCACTTTAATAGTATATTTTCGAGTTTTTTTTTTGCATTAAAAATCCTCATAGTCACTGTAGTGAGTAAAATACATTCATAATCACGTGTACAAAATTTTAAATGACGTTGTTATAGGTGACATAAATATATACCTAAATAAATATTTTACAATGGAAAAAGTACATACAAGTAATTTTAAATAATGCTTATATAAAACTATTATGCTTTATTATATAATTCTTATGGCAATAACAACTCACTCATATTGTTACAGTTGCACGAGCATGGTGCTTACCTGGTAGACTCGTTGATCGAGTCTAATCCCATGATGAAGGACTGGGAGTGTATGACCGATTTGCTTCTCGAGGAGGCTGGACCTGGTGAGGAAGCGTTGGACAACAGACAGGTTAGTTATCTAGCTATCATGGTAACTTTTTATTTATTAAAAAGAAAAAAGTCACCCAAATTAAAATGACTTAAAATAAGCAAAGAGTTACTAATTTGATACATTGTACAATACTACTATCAGCAATTTTCATCATATCAAAGTACTTTGAATACCCTTTTTTTTTGTATACAACTTAGAATGGCAAACAAGCTGACGGTCCATCTGATGGAAAGTGGTAACCATCGCCTATAGACATGAGCAGTACCATGGAAATAACAGAGTATACTGTTTCGCCCATGATACCTCTCATGCGTTGCCATTCCTGAGGATTCAGGTTTTATTCCTCTGTACCCTGTAAATTCACGCCATATCCCACCCTTCAAACTGAAATACGGTCATGCAAACACAACTGCTTCACGGTAGAAACATTAATGAGACAGAGGTATCCATGCAATCGACTTTTGTACAAAGTCTCCCTCTGGTAACCTAGTAGTTTATAAGAATAATTTGATAGTTTTGTTTTTAGTCCTTATTTTGTGTGTAGTTTTTATTCTTTATTAACATTCTTTTTGTATTAAAAATCAATTTATTCCGTTTCACCTCTGTGAATGTTGAGACTACTATAATTAGATTGCAAACTTGTAATGCTATTGTTGTTTTCTATTGGTAAAAGTTTTGTTTGTAGTTCTTTATTCTTTAATGTACACAAAATGTTATTAAAATGTAAAAACAAACATAACAGTGCACAAAGGCGAGCCTATTTCCAATAGAGATTTCTTCCAGCAAACCCAATATGAGGAAACTGACAGTTCATTAGTAGTTACAGTTATACATGTGTACCAATCGACTTAAATGTCATAGTAGAAATAAATAAATAAAAATATATATAAGTAAATACATATAAATAGATAGATATATATATTATATTAAATACACAAATATATTAATATAATAAGTACGTACATCAGCATTGTGAGAGGTAATAATTCTTCAGAGAGATTTGAAAATCCCAATGCTTGGGCTATTTGTAATTTGATGAGGAAGTGTGTTCCATAAGTAATGTGTCGGTATGCGCGGTGGCGTGCAGGAGTCGTCGCTGATCGAGCTGATGGTGTGCTGCGTGCGGCAGGCCAGCACCGGCGAGCCGCCCGTGGGCCGCGGGCCCGCGCGCAAGCACCACCTCGCGCTGTCCAGGGACCAGGCCAAGGTACCGCGCGCTGCTCAACCTCGCCGATAGCCCCTTAGGGGTTTTGCCAGTCGTTGCCACGCTTGGTATGCGGTTGGTTGCTACGGCGGTTGTTAATCCGCCTGACAGGGGGGGGAAAGGGATTGTTAGCCATGGAGTTTGACAGCCCCATTGCTAGCAATATGCCCTATTAAGTCGATTCCCACGTGGCTTCCTCTGGAAACTATCATGAATACTTCTTGTTGAATTCATGATGGGCTAACTGACCTGCTTCATCCTCATCTGTCATTCCTCACTGGTACCCCGCCGGTGTATACCGATAGCGCGGGCGAGATATCATTCCATTTTCATCCATTAATAAAAAACCGCAGACTTTGTGGACACTGTTTCCTATCCCTCGCCCTCCCTTAGTCGCTTCTTATGACACTCAAGGGAAAAGAAGGGGTAGCTTATTCTATGTCAAGACCATATAGTCGTTATTTACCTCACAGATAGATAGATAGATACTCTTTATTGATTCCTTCAAAAGATTACAACAGTAAACCTATTATAAATATACACACTCATCGCTCCATAATATAGGCATCCTTTTCCATTGTGACACTGCATAGAGGGTGCTGGATTTATTAAGCGAAGTTAAAATATTATAGTGGCGTGTGTATAATGTATGTAATGTACGATGTGTTGGTGTGCAGCAAGTGAGCGACGACCGGACGCGCATGACGGCGCACTTCATCGTGACGCTGCCCGCGCTGCTGGACAAGTTCGGCGCCGACCCCGAGAAGCTCACCAACCTGGTCTCCATCCCGCAGTACTTCGACCTGGAGCTGTACACCACGCAGCGCCAGGAGGGCAACCTCACGCTGCTGCTCAACAAGCTGCGCGACATCGTCTCCGTGCAGACGGAAGCTGAGGTTTGTCGCCCTCACTTACTATTTCAAATCGCTCATATTTCTACTGTGATTTCTTACGAGTACTTATTTTTTGTCTTTTTATTTAGTTTGCTATGTGACCGTGCATACATATATTTTTTTAAATCCTTACTAACTTACAAAACAGTGAAAATATGCAAATATTGAATTATAATTATATCAACACGCACTTTTTTATACAACTTAGAATGGCAAACAAGTTGACGACCCACCTGATGGAAAGTGGTAACCGTCGTCTATAGACATGAACAGTACCATGGACATAACAGAGTATACTGTTTCGTCCATGATACCTCTCATATGATAACATTCCTGAGGACTCAGGTGTTACTCCTCTGTACTTTGTAAATTCATGCCATATCCTATCTTTCAAACCCAAATACAGCCATGCAAACATAACTGCTTTACGGTCAATACACTAATGGGACAGAGGTGGCCAAGCAAAGGAGTTTTGTACAAAGGGTCGGTGTGGTATTGAGGTGGTAATGAGGCGTGGCGGGTGGTTGCACGTGCAGGTGGTGGAGACGTGCGGGCGCACGCTGGAGTGGCTGTGCGGCGAGCAGGGCGGCGTCTACACGCGCTGCAACGTCGCGCGCGCCACCATCACCGACATGTGCGTCAACCGGTACAAGGTACGCACGCACACCATCAGCTGAGTCGCGTCTACACGCGCTGCAACGTCGCGCGCGCCACCATCACCGACATGTGCGTCAACCGGTACAAGGTACGCACGCAATCACTACACCAGCGAGATGGTTGGACGGACACCAGAGGATGGTAGACCCCATGAAATGAAATTCCGAAATTTCGGACTCAATTTCATATTTTTGTTTACACCAAAATCGGATCAATAAGGTACTTAGAATAGCACAAATCGGAACACGTTCGATGCGCGAGAAAGTCTCGTACGAAATGCCTAAGTAGTTAATATAAAAAAAATACAACTTTTTCCCATACACTGAAATTATTTATTTAATATCTTCTTTTTGAAAAGGGTGAATGAGAAACATACATTAATTAAAACAATAGAGAATAGAAGAGACAAAGTACTGGGTCATCTTATACAATATGACGATTTTATAAAGAGCAAAGTAAAAGGAAATATAGAGGGCGAAAATGGAAGAGGAAAACATAGGAGTAACTACATGGGATAGATAAAAGAAACGCTAGATGTCATGTTGTATAGGGAGGTCAAGAATATGGCTTGGGATAAAACTGGCTGGAAGAAGATGCATGAATTAGTTGCACCGACAAGAGGAAACTCTTAAATGAAAAGAAAAAGAAGAATATTTTCTATTATACACAGCTAAGGTTCGCTTTGACTCGCGACGCGCGAGACCCTTAGTTTAGGGTTTAATTGAGCCGGGATGAATCTAACTAGTTCATTTTACTGGCCAAACCGGCGGGCAGAAACCAGAGTGCCTACCATAAAGTATTTTTCGAAATTTCGGGGACGAACGAAACAGAAATTTGATGTTAAAATTACAAAATACATGCTGTTTAAAATTATTAAAAATGTTAAAATATCGTTTCTTTGGACTATTAGAATAGGATTTATGATGAACGAAATGTTAAGCTCCATTTACTGGGTCGAATTTGATACGAACAAAAACACGAAATTGAGCCCGAAATTTCGAAATTTCATTTCATGATAGACCACCAGGTCCGTAGCTGGGCAGTAATTTGGCTAGCTACATTACGACTGACTGATTTCAAATTTGTATGTGTTTATATAGGCATAATATTATTGATTTAAATGGAAATAAATGATATCGTTAGTCAACAATAATATGTCTGTATGCTAGTATCGTAACAGTACGTGTACAGTGCTCGTGCTCGTGCTCGTGCTCGTGCTCGTGCTCAGACATGGTACTATACCGCACCGCTCGGCCGGCAGGAGGCGATCGACGAGTACCGGTCGCTGCTGGAGGGCGGCGAGACGCCGGACGCGGACGAGGTGTTCGCGGTGGAGAACTCGCTGCGCAAGGTGTCCATCATGTACATGTGCCACAACCTCAACGACACCAACATCTGGGACTCGCTGTTCGAGGACCTGCCCAAGTGCGCCAAGGAGAACGAGTCGCAGATGCCGCCGCAGGTATGTGCTCATTTATTCTTAGATTATATAGTGCAATAGAAATTAGAAAGATTCATTGAAGTTGTCTTTTGCAAATTGATACAGAAATAGATAGATAGATAATTTATTTGCATTACTTACTTACAGCACATAAATTACAACATACATATACAAAAAAAAAGCGAGATAACATAAATGATAAAAAAAATAAAATAAAGCTAAACACAATTTTCGTTTGTGAGTGTGCCATAGCAATACAAAATGGCCACAACTCAGTTTATTGCTTCACCCTCAACAGAGCAAAGCACTGATATAAATACATTATTAATTATTATTGAAGGTTCAATTCATCTACAATATTAATACAATTTGATGTCATCCTTATTAATATTATAAATGTGAAAGTGTGTTTGTTTGTTACTTTTAATATCAATATCTTATAACATCTTTTTACTGTGGTAGAGCCACGCTGTAATCCTATATGGTATTGCAGCATGAATGGGCCGGCTCGACCGGGGAAGTACCACACCCTCACAGAATACCGACGCTAAGTGGTTGTACTTTTAGTGCGATCACATTCCGTATGGTGAGTGAGGGAGTCCGGAGCCCATCCCATTCCCATCCCATACCCATCCCTTTCCTATTCCTAAAATCCTTTCCCCAACCCCGTCCCCCTATCTTACAACACGCAACCATGGCAGTGGAATTAAAAAAAAATAACATACCCCAGGGAGGTACCAGTAACCATGTTGCTGGAGAATCCTCCCTCGAGCAACTACGCTCGGGCTGCCCATTATATATAAAAGAAAATTCCGCTCTTTGGAACCAAGGGCAAACGGAGCAAGATTTCTACGGCATCCCCTTCGCTCAATGTGAGCTTCTGCAACATCAGGGGATTACATTCTAACCTAAACGCTGTCCACCAACACCTAGAAACGGCGCGGCCGGCATTGCTCTTTCTAACGGAGACACAGATATCCTCTCCAAACGAAACTTCATACCTGACGTACCCGGGCTATAAACTTGAACATTGTTTTGTTTCGCGTGCCGGTGTATGCGCGTATGTCAGAGAGGATATCTGCTGTCGCCGCCTTGGAATTCTTGAAGGAACGGATGTGCTGCATATTGTCCTGTCTATTTTATGGCTGCGCGTAGACTGCAATGACCATCCTCGCGTCTATGCATGCCTATACAGGTCCCACAGCGGTAACATCGAAACCGACCAACTCATTGAGCACGTCCAAATGGCTACAGATTCCCTGCTCGAACAGATTCCTTCCGCTGAAGTCGTGATTCTTGGCGACTTTAATGCCCACCATACCGAATGGCTTGGTTCACGTACAACCGACTATGCGGGAAGATCTGTTCATGACTTTGCTTTGGCTTATGGTCTGACGCAAGTTGTTTCCTCGCCCACGCGAATACCTGATGTGTTGGACCATTCACCTTCACTGCTGGACCTTCTGCTGACCACCCACCCAGACAACTATGTGATTTCCGTCGAAGCTCCGCTTGGATCGTCGGATCACTGTCTGGTGCGGAGCGAAGTGCCTCTCATGAGTCCGATTCCACCACGTTCTACGGGTAGACGTCGTGTTTGGCACTACAGGTCGGCAGACTGGGATGAGATGCGGATTTTTTTCGCATCTTATCCATGGAGGCAGGTTTGCTTCGCACTGGGGGATCCCGACGCCATCGCCAATTCCATCGCCGATGTGGTGCTTCAGGGAATGGAATTATTTATTCCTAACTCTGTGGTACCTGTCGGTGGGAAATCCCAGCCCTGGTATGGAGCCTCTTGTAGAATAGCATCTCGCCTGAAACAGGAGTGCTTCCTAGCCTGGGCCAAAGGTGTGGCGTCGCGAGATCCTAACATCAGTGCCCTTAAAAAGAAGTATAACTTTGCCTCTAGGTCCTTCAAAAGAGTTTTGGCCACAGCGAAGTCAGAGCATATTGGTAGAATTGGCAAGAGATTGGCCAGTTTACCTTCGGGATCTCGAGCTTTCTGGTCTCTTGCCAAAGCTGCACAAGGGAATTTCTGTCAGTCATCTTTTCCACCATTGCGCAGGGAGGATAACTCGTTGGCTCTGAACGCCAAAGAGAAGGCCGATCTCCTTGGATCTCTCTTTGCATCAAACTCGACGTTGGATGACGGAGAGAAACTACCGCCGACCATTCCGCGTTGTAAGAGCTCTATGCCGAATGTTAAATTCACGCAAAGATCAGTGCGTAGAGCACTTCTCTCCCTTGAAATCCATAAGTCGAGTGGGCCCGATGGCATTCCTCCAATTGTGCTTAGGACGTGTGCACCAGAGTTGGCTCCGGTTCTTACGCGTCTTTTTCGGCTCTGTTACTCATCAGGTATAGTCCCAAAGTTTTGGAAGACTGCTTTGGTGCATCCGATCCCTAAAAAGGAGACCGCTCAGATCCAGCTAACTATAGGCCCATAGCTATTACTTCCTTATTCTCGAAAGTCATGGAATCAGTTATTAACGATCAACTGCTCCGGTACCTAGAGGATCGCCAGCTGATCTCAGACCGCCAGTACGGCTTTCGACGAGGACGCTCGGCTGGTGATCTTTTAATTTATTTAACACACCGATGGGCGGTGGCAATCGAGAATAAGGGAGAGGCCTTAGCTGTTAGTCTGGATATTGCGAAAGCCTTTGATTGGGTGTGGCATAGGGCACTAATCTCGAAACTACCTTCGTTTGGGTTGCCCGCGAGATTGTGCAGTTGGGTCGCCAGCTTTCTTAAGGAACGTAGCATTAAGGTCGTAGTCGACGGAGCATGCTCTGACTTAAAACCTGTGAATGCTGGTGTCCCGCAAGGCTGTGTACTATCTCCGACACTGTTTCTTCTGCATATCAATGATATGTTACAGATCAGTGATATTCATTGTTATGCGGACGACAGTACAGGAGATGCATTATACACCGGTCATGCAAAGATCTCGCGGGCACATACCGATGAGCTCCGGAACAGACTTGTGTCTGAAATCGAAACTTCACTCGATAAAGTTTCGATCTGGGGTGAACGCAATCTTGTTCACTTTAACCCTAAGAAGACACAAGTCTGCGCGTTCACCGCAAAAAAGACACCGTTTGTCGTATCTCCTCACTTTCAGGGCACTTTCCTTGATAATAAGTCGAGTCTGAGGATTCTTGGCGTCGATATATCTAGCGACGTCCAGTTTTGCGGTCATCTGGAGGAAAAAGCTAAGATAGCTTCCAAAAAGTTGGGGGTGCTCAATAGGGTGAGACGGTATTTCACGCCAGAAAACCGCCTTAAACTGTATAAAGCTCAAGTGAGGCCACACATGGAATACTGTTCTCACCTGTGGGCAGGAGCGCCACAGTACCAACTCCTTCCATTAGACCGCATTCAAAGTCGGGCAGCTCGAATTGTTGACGATCGGCGTCTTACTGTCCGGCTCGACCCACTGAAACTGCGTAGAGATGTTGCATCTCTGTGCATCTTCTACCGAATTTATCATGGGGAGTGCTCTGAAGAATTGTTCGGATTGATACCTGCTGCTGATTTTCACCATCGTACAACCCGCCATAAACTAAAATTTCATCCCAACCATCTGGACGAGTGGCGGTCCTCCACCGTGCGTTTTTCAAGGCACTTTCTCCCACGCACAACCACTCTTTGGAATCAACTTACAGCAGCAGTATTTCCGAACCGATACGACAACAAACCGTCAAGAAAAGAGCATATTCCTTTTTAAAAGGCCGGCAGCACACCTGCAATGCCGTAGGTGTTGTGGGTGATTATGGGCGGCGGTAGTCACTTACCATCAGGTGAGCCGCATGCTCGTTTGCCCTCTGTGTTGTAAAAAAAAAAAAAAACATCTTAATGGCATAAACAATTAATTATGAAATTTTGTATGTATGTATACAGTACAGTATACATACATATAAACAGCTTGTTGGTCATTTTAAGTTGCGTAAAAAAATATATGGGATGAGGAAGGATATAGTCTACATTTGTAGTACAGATTTCGACCTAGTTTACACTCTCACAAGGATTATTATTTTAAATTAAAACTTAAATAGTTATACACTGTACAATATTTCTTGTGTGTAGTAAAATAAAGATTATGATTTTATCTCACTTAGGCAACATCTTCCGTTTATGCGGATAAAGTCCTAGCAAAAAGCCGGTACACATTATATATAAAAGAAAGATTAGATTATTTAATTTATATATAAGGTGCTACCAAATTATCTGCATTTCCTGCTAGATAATAGCTATCTAGCTATATTGCTTGCACTCGCTGTGTCGACTAGCATATACGCTGTAATAGCTCATCATAAAACCAAACATCAGCTGTTTGCTAAAACCGTGATATTTCGATATTAAAAAAATAATGAAAGAACGAATTTATTCATAGAGTCATGCGACAGACATAGTAGCATAAATGAAAAAAAAAAAAAAAACTAAATATTTAATTAAAAATCAAAACAAAATAATTAGTGCAAGTATGAGTCGTGTATGTGTGTGTGCGTGTCGTGATGTGCTGTGCCATGCTCAGCATATTGTCGCTGCGTTTGAGGCGCTGCAGCACTGTTTTTTAGCACAAATCGTGACGTCTATGGCAACTATATTAGGTATTTATCTATTCTTTTTTGAAAAATTCGTCAACAGAGTAAAAGCTTTTGCTAAGTAACCATTTACGCAATACAATTTTGAATTTATTTAATAGAAGTCCCTTTATATCCATAGGAATATTGTTAAAGATTTTTAAACACACCATATAGGATTTTCTTAACAAACTGTATCACTTGCGTCGTCAAAAACATAAGGTTTGATAAATTTTTAAACCTACTTATTTGAATTGATACCAAGCCTCCAGAACAGAAGAGAATTCGACCTCTACTTACAATAGGTGTTAATAAGCCAAGGGGGTCATATACTTGTATCGACTGAGACAGGCCTTTAAATCATTTGGAAGGATATTCAATGAAATGAAAACTTCTTAGGAGACCTAGACATCATCAACGATATTTCATGATACGCCGAGTATTATGTGATTCCGCGTATTGTTAGCGAGATCTACATCTAAAACATCAGTAGCGCGCCGGTCGAAGGATTAAGGCAAGAGCGTCCTTGGAGATTGAGACTCAGTATCTTATTTCAAAACTTGCATGTGACTACTACCAAGAAAATCGTCCATGTAATGGTTGTTGATAATCGCGTCAGGGGCTGCAGGTTACCCTATAGTCTATGCATTTTTATTTTTAAAATATATCAATGCACAAGGTATATATTCTAAGGTTGAGAGGTTTTTTAATGGGCTATAATGGAATGGTAACCCAGCCTGTGCAATCGGTATACGTTGGCGGAGCACCAATGAGGGATGATAGGTGACGACGAAAGCAGATCAGTTAGCCCATCGTGATGAATTTCACTAGAATTAACCACGATGGTTTTCAGGGGGAACCGCATGGTCGGCCTGATAGGGTGTATTGCTCGTAATGGGGCGGTTAAACTCCATTACTAACAATCTCTCCTCCCGGCTGAGAGGGGTTATCGCGCCTTAAAAATCGCTATTTGAACGTTCTTCACTTTATTTACAACAGTTTTCGCCATTTTTTTTTTTGATCCACATTTGAAATATCATGTCCAGTTTCATTGTAAACTCTTTCCATATGACCGCATAAAAAGTCCAGCGGAGGTAAGGGTCATTGAATATCTTTTTCTTGAAATAATATCATTGCAGGGGGCAAGGGATTGCTAGTAATGGAGACTAAGAATTCCATTGCTAGCAATATACCCAACCAAGTCGACCTTCTCGCGGTTCCCCCTGGAAACTATCATGGTTAATTCCTGATGAATTCATCATGATGGGCTAACTAGCCTGTTTTCATTCTCATCGATCACCCTTCACTGGTGCTCCGCCAGCGTATCCCGTTAGCGCAGGCGGGGTTACCATTCCTATTTCACCCATTAAAAAAAAATCATTGCGTGCACAGTAATAATAGCATATTGCCGAAAACAAAATACAATTTCTAGACAATCTTAGTACACTGAGATGAAACATGAAAGATGACTAATTTGCGTGTATTTACGACATTAAAAACACAACACGTCCACGTCAGATTCTGTACTGTATGTCCAGAGAAATCGAAATAAAAATGCAAGTTTATTGTTACTTCAATAGTGCACTATTTGTGTAATGATACCCTTAAATACTACTACGTAACTATTTTGTAGTTAAAAGTTTGTAAAAAGTTCTGAGGTCCACGTGGACTGTGTCCTGGACGCACCAATGAAATGATAGCGCGAACAATGACAGCGCTAGAGTGCTATGTTATTGGTCAAGGTAAGTGTCGCGCGATGATTAAAGATAGTCATTGGATTAAATGATTTTTTTTTTATTTTCTAATCAATAGCGGCGTTTTTAGAGCTGTTCATTGATTTTAGAGTTACTAAAATACTATTGCAGGTGTGACTAAAGCGGCAACGTCGCTTTTATAAAAGGTACTTTTTACACAGAGTGAAAAAAATATGTTAACTAGGAATATTTTTTGCATGAAAAATTTTATGACATTTGAAATATGAAATTCTATCATTGTCGTGACGTATATGTGTAATACTATCCCTTTAAAGGGAATGCAGATAATTTGGTAGTATCCTATGTATAGATAATGTTTTGGTGGTATTTCGATGTGTGCGCTTGTACCGCGTTTATAGTGTTAGTGGTGGTAGGAGTTAGGTGGTACTAGTGATGGTGGTGCGCAGGCGCTGGTGTACGTGGTGCGCGCGTGCTTCTACTCGCTGCTGTGGTCGCTGCACGAGCTGGAGGAGCGGCTGGCGCGCGCGGGCGGCGGCGGCGGCGAGCAGGCGGCGGCGGCGGCGGCGGCGGCGGCGGCGGCGCTGCGCGAGCGCCTGCTGGGCTACCTGGCGCAGTGCCGCCGCCTCGTGCAGCACGCCGCCACGGCCGCGCTGCGCGAGGAGGCCTACACCAGCCTCTGCGACCTGCTCGTCGTGTTTGCCGACCGCCTGCACGCGCTGCACCACCCCGCCGAGCCCGCCGTGCGCCGCCTCGTGCTCGAGCCCGAGCCCGCGCTCTGCGACCTGCTCAACGGCTTCGTGCAGCAGTTCGTCTTCGTGCACCACGACTACGGTACGATCGCGTCCATCCTCACGCCTACATCTAACATCTGAACGTTTCAACAAACACATAAATACGTTCTCATATTAATATTCAATCTTTTGTATTTCATATTTATATTTATAGTTCTCGAGTACATAAATCATTATAATTAATACGGCAGTCAACTGAGTAGTATGACATAATCGAAGCCAAAACAAAATGTTATGTACACTGTATTTGTATATTGTCATGTTTCAATTGGAGTAAAAACAAAAATCTGTACAATATGGTTATAATATAATGGTGAAATTAACAAGTTTCTTTGTTGTGGGACTAGGTTTTTCTAAATCGGGACAAAGCGTGTCGTAGATTTCATAGCGGTCGAGGTGGACTTGGACGTTTTGGGGACTGTTCGGTTTCACGAAGTTCTGCCTCGTGTGTATTTACAAGAGCGCAGACACTCGCTGCGTCGGCGCCGCGAACGATACCGTCCGGTAGCGGCCCGCAGCACGTGGCGGCGCTCGCCACTCCGCGGCTGACAAAAAATATGCATTATTCCGACACCCGGCGCCGCGCCCCGCCCCCCCCGCCCCCCGCGCCCCGCACCCTCGCACCCGCGCACCCGCGCACCCGCGCACCCGCGCACCCGCGCGTCGTCGCGCCACACGGTGCCGACCGTGCGGTTCGTACTAACTTTTAAACGCAACTCCCTCTTTCTCTATTCCATTTTTAAATGTTCGCGATCACTCGGAGTTGTCGGTTTCTATCCGTGGCGGGTCCGATCGACGCCGGTATCGCGTGCGCGGCGGCGGGCGGGGTGGGGCGGGGTGGGGCGGGGCGGCGGCGGCGGGCGGCCTGCGATAACGGTGTGGTATGTTTGGTTGCATGTCCCGCCCGCGGGCGGCTGCCGCCGCGACGTGGACGCCGGTAAGCCAGTTGCTCGCACTAGCTGTCTCTGCGGCGGCGTATTTTACCTTAGTAATGGCGCGACGCAGCCCGCGCCGCAGCTGCGCCCCGGCGACTCGCCGCGCCCGGTGTCGGTGGTGGCCGCCGCGCACCAATAATGCATATTTTTGTCTCGACTTTCGCTGCGAACGAAGCACAGTTTCGTGCACCGATATGTTCTCACCTAACATTACTAAGGGAAAATTGTCGCGCCCGCTTCTCGACTGCGTCCGAAACCGCCGGCGAACGTCCGCGCGCGTCCGGGCGACGCGCCCGCGTCCGCGTCCGCGCGGACGGTATTCGCTCGCGGTATCGGATCCGATCTCCATTATTAACACTTGGAACGTTTTGTGATTTTAAGCATGCCTTGTGCAGTGTACTCGATTATTTCTGTTGCGCTCCATTCCTGGGCATCGATTTATTTTTACATTTATATCTCTGTAACATACGATGTGGGAAGGGTTAATCGTACCATGAGTAAAATAACAATTGTATCTCCGGCTTCTACTAAACTTCATAACGGGTCGTCGTGTCTTCTCTGCCACTAATAGTAGCGACGGTCAGTCACCTAATGGCGCTTCTTATATCTCTATAGCCGAGCAGTAGACATAGTAGAGTGATGCATGATTCATAGTTAGTGGAGCTACTGGCGGGACTGATTCACGACGGAGGGGCCTGGATTATAAACGACTGTCGGTGAACCGTCCCACCGTGTAGCGTATGAGTGAAGTAATCGTGTTATGACTTGCGAATTTCAATGGCATTTTTATATATACGCTACGTAATGTTCTATCACTTCTTCACCTATAATACACACTACTTCCAACTTTTTAGGACATTATTTTTCAGTCTACTTCAATACCCAATTTTCAGATATTTAATAAACAAATGAGATACTGAAATCAAAATCTAATTTTGTACCATTAATAAACATGTGTAGTACATTTGGGACAATGATTATGACAACATCAAGCTTGAGTAATTAATAAAAAAAAGTAATTTAAAACAATTACGGACTAGTAGGCGTAGCGTGTATTAAAGGAAAACAAGTGGTATTAGGACATGACGTAGTGCGGTGGTAGTTGTATGGAGCCGGCCACCATATAGTATGATGTTGCAGATGGTCAAGACGAGAGACGCATCGAGGAACTGCACAAGCGGCGCAACTTCCTTGCCGCCTACTGCAAGCTTATCGTCTACAACATAGCACCTATACGGCGCGCCGCCGACGTCTTCAAGCACTACATTAAGGTACCGAGCACACTTTGATCACCTGTATTATGTAACCTATGTGATATCACTTAGATAGTCCGACTCGAAGGACCAAAATTTGCAAGATGCTTTGTTGCGAAGATACCTTTTCTATTGTTCACACGACTTTGAATGGCCTATAAATTGACGTTTCACCTGATAGAAAATGAATTTGCCTAACAATCTAGACACGCACAGTAACAAAGTCATACAATTCATACAATATATCAATACTCCTGCCTCTTCAGTATTAGTATAGTATTTTAAAATATACAGAAAATTTGTTTGTAATGCTCTTATGGTTAACAAAATTTTGTAGAATCACAGAAAATATGTAGTTATTTGAATAATGACAGTAATACAAGATATTGTCTAAATTAATATTAAATACTCAACAGATTTTTAGAATACTTTCGTCTATGGAAAGCTACATTGTCGTTTGTTGGTAACATGAGCTGTATTTTATTCAAGTAATTAGAGTTGTTCTACTCCTAGATAGTAGTTGTCCTAGATACTAGTTATTAAACAAGCTTGTTCGCCGACAGTGCTACAACGACTACGGCGACATCATAAAGTCGACCCTGAGCAAGGCGCGTGAGATCAACAAGCTCAACTGCGCACTCACCATGGAGCTGGCCATGCAGGCGCTGTTCACCGACATGCTGCAGCGCCACCAGACGCCCACCAGGCAGCTACCGGAGTTCCTTGAGCTGAAGGTACAAGCTGACTACTTAAATATAAATTACTCTATAACATCGGTAGATGGCGCTACGTGGATGATTTTTAAAGAAGATAGTTATGTCTTATAGGGAGGTCGAGAGAGAGAGAGAGAACATTCTTCTTTTTAAAGTTGGTTGATAATTGGCCTATATTACGTGTTTTGAAATAGCTGTTGGTTTAGTTAACCAATTTAATTCCTTTGGAACACACTTGGCTAAAACAGTTGACAATCTTACAGATCGAATCCGGTTAAATCAAAGATATTTGTATTATTGAGGATCAGCGACTGAAGCGTTACGATTTTTTAAATATTATATACATATATATCTGTCACGCCTGCTCTCCGTTAGGGGAGACAGAAACAATGGAACGTCAAATGCTCCGATTCAAACAAACCTCTTTCGCTTCTCCCACCATTTATCAATCTTTTCATACACGCTCGCTAAATATCACTGGTCATTAATTTGCAACTTAATGTAAAATTGCTTGGTCACAAGTCAATAATACAAGTAATCGTATTTATATTGGTATATTAATATTAAAATAAAGCTACTAGGCTTCAAAACCTCTGAAGGAGTCTCTCCGTAACGTATCAAATGTAAACGAGACCAAAATGTATCTACAAGGTGAAGTTTGCCAATTAACTAAGCTATATTACTCTCTGTTCTAATTTGTAGGGCAATGATTTCAGTAAATGTAATCACAATATGAAAAATACAGAATAGACTCAAATTGGTCACGTCGCGAAAACAAATCAAATAAATACAAGGTCAACAATCATATTTTATATACTGGATGTTCACGTTGAACAATTTCCTCCGTTGTCTGCTACAAGCGAACTGAGCAATGACCTCAATAAATATCAAATGTATGGAAAAACAGCTTTTGTTAACGCTAACGAGACGTATTCACCGCTCTCCTCATTTGACAGCTATTAGTCCAGGACGCGCCCTCGCCCTTTGTACGTTTGGCGGGCAGCGGGAAATAGGCTGTCTCTCTCCATATTATAATTTCACAAGTATTCGATATGTTTTGTTGATACGCTCCCTGTAGTTTAAAGTGGTTTAGGTTTCATATGTAATTTTTTTTTCTAATTTTTTTATAATTAAATAGGTTTTTTTTTATATTTTTTATGTTTAAATATTATGTATCTCGCAGTTTTTTTTTTTTTTTTTTTTTTTTTTTAGAATATCTTAGTAATAATCTTTATTCAAAACAGTAAGATACAAAATTGCTTAACTATGGTCCCTATATGGGTCGAACCTGTATCTGGGGAACCTATTAAATTATATTTACTTAGAACATTATCCTTTATGTTTAATCTGGGATATATTCGATTTATAATTTAAATTTAAAAGGTAATTAGACGTGTTTGTGTAACAAACGGCCTAATATTTTAAATTACTAGTATCTGAATTATCTAAGTTATTTTTAATGATTTTTTTATTTGTTTAGTTATATTTCGTCGAAGCGATCGTAGCGACAATTTATAGATATAAGAAACAATTTAGATTTTGTTTCGCGACCCAAGTGGCAAGCGACTTCAGCTTACCGAAGAGTGGAGATGTCGCATTTATCTATTTTAAAAAATAATTTAACAATTTTCAATGTTTTTGATCGATTATTTAAAATGTGTTCCGCTAGCGAACTAAAATATTAATCATGGGGCATGTTGCAGTACATCTATCACTGAAAACACCACCTTTTTCATATTTTGCTTTGAATTTCATATTTTCGCGGTAAATTTTTGCCAGACCATGTTTTTTAATGATGATTATACTGAAGAATATTTCTGATCTACTTTTTAATAAACTTAAAAAACACTTATTGAACGAAGCCTATTACACGCTAAACGATTACTTGAATGACTAACGTGCATGGTGTTAGTGGATCATGTACGAGTTTTTCAACGACCATGTAGTTTTAGACGTAACATAGTACATTTAAATAAATATATGTGAACTTATATATTAATAGATTTAAAACTGTAACTGTTGGTTTGTCGCAAGTTCTTCTCTGCAGATACAATTTTTCAGTCTGTAGTACATTAAAAAAAAATTGTGACTTAAAAGTGCTTATATATAAATCTGAAGGAGGAAAGCCTATCGATTTTAAAAATTATTGTCAGAATGGAATCGGAATTGACGAAGAAGAATATCCTTATATTACAAAAATATGGATAAATAGAGAATTTATTTGTTTTTAAAGTCGATTAAAATTAGTAACGTGTGTGTGCGTCGGCGCAGGAGTTGGCGAAGCGGTTCTCGGTGATGTTCGGGCTGGACGCGGTGAAGAACCGCGAGGCGCTGACGGCGCTGCACCGCGCCGGCATCGCGTTCGCCGCGCTCGAGTTGCAGCCGCACCAGCCGCCGCCGCACCTGCTGTTCCTCGAGCCGCTCGCCGAGTTCTCCAACAAGCTGCTGCGCCAGGACAAGCGTCAGGTGCTCAAGGTAACGATGCCAGCACACTAGCACGCGGCTCGTGGCTTTTGGCGCGTGTCCAACTCGACCCTGGTAACGCGGCGTGTGTTGCAGTTCCTGGACTCGCGCATCCAGCCGTCCGTGCACTGGGGCGAGGAGTGGGCGCCGCTGACGGCCTACCGCAACTCGCTGCTCACCGACTCGCCCGACGAGCGGCCGCCGCCCGCCCGCAAGCACTACGCGCGCCGCACCCGTACGTACACACCCGCTACATATACAGGGCGGCAAGGGACTTTGACAGCCCCATTGCCAGTAATATGCCCTATTAGGTCAACCTCCACGTGGTTCCCTCTGGAAACCATCGTGGATAATTCTTGTTGTTGTGGCTCGCCGGTGTTTACCTATAGCGCGGGCGGGGTTACCATTCCATTATTACCTATTAAAAAAAAACTACATATACACTCAACTAGAAATATTTTTTATTCAAGTGAATTTATAATTATTAAAAATAATAGTTTAATATTTCTACTGTCTAATTCGGAATGCAATTTTGGGATCATTTGGTTGTATCATGTATCTAAGTTAAAAATTCAATTAAAAATAAAAAAAATGCATTATTGTTATTTTAATATAATCAGTAGGACCTGTGTTAGGAATAAATCACAAGTTACCATCTTAAGTTTAAGGAAAACCATAAAATGTTACATTTTGTACATGTTGATCGGGTAGAACCTAGAGGACGCTGACATCAGTGGAGTAATTTAGATGTTGCGAGTGAACAGAGATGACCCACTCATACATAAGCAGTGACGAAACAATCGCGTCATTATTCGGGTAACGAGTGGTTCCCCAATGGTCCGGAAGTGGCCTCGCATTTGCCGCGCCGGTGTCGCGGCAGGCTGCGGTGGCGCATCAGTATTCCGGTCGCGCGGCCGCGTGCTGGTTTCACTCGGCGCTGACGTGCGTGGGAGGCCGGTGATAAGATCGCCATCGTTATGAATATTGTATTTGGGTACAGTCCGCTGGGGTACGGCTTGGTGGGCACGTAGCCGAATTTGTCGCGGCGTTTGTCACCATTTATGGTGGTTGGGCAAGAAAGCTCATGTTAGGATTTTTTTTAAAATATTATTATCCACTAGTTGCGTTCTTGAGATGATTTTTTATTTTTCCCATGAAAAACTTTTAATGACATATTTTTTCCTTGGCAAATGTTCAAAATTAACCTTTTTACATACATTGACAATTGTAGTTGTTTTATAAAAAAGAAAAATGATGAACAAATAAAATAGAACAAAAAAATATATATATATATTACATCAAGTCAACAGACAGCATTTTTACCTATAATTAAGTATAATTAATAAATAATAATAATATATACAACAAGAACCAGCATATTTTATAAACACCAAATAATATTTAATTACTGTGAAGTTGGTATTAAGTATATCCCTATACGACATTTCATCAAAACCCATTTAGTTGTTTTTACGTGATGTATACAAATAAATAACAATACTAATACAAACAGATTATAGTCACAGTACCCATACAAATGTAAAATTATCTTGTAAATAATAATTTGAGAAGAGTAACTGTCGAGTTCCTTACGGGTTCTTCCCAGCAGACAATATTCCGAATCCAGTGGTAGAATCATAAAAAACTGATGATTTAACAGCTTGTAAACAATTCTATTTGAATAAAGATTATTTCTATATGGTCTAGTTAGTGTTATTATACTAATATATAAAATATAATAGTTTTACTATTTTATTCAGAATATCTAAAGCATATTGTCAAAAAGTTATGACGTTTGTTAACTCTTTTATGCATGATTTTTTTTGCAATGGACATTAAAAAGGTATCCAGACACGATCATCTTACAAATGAACTTGGTTTTTTATATAATTTTTGGGCATTCAATGTTATGATGGATATTTCCACCATTATGCAAAGAAGGGTTAAATATTTGAGTGATATTAAGGTGTATGTGTATGTACAGGCGGGCATAACGAGGAGGAGGAGGGCGAGGAGAACGCTGACTCGGACCAGGAGCAGCCAGGGTGAGCGCCGTCACACGCCACCGTCGTGTAGTATTAGCTATTATATGGTACATAACAGGATTCTCTCTGCTTCCATATTTAAATGTTCGCGTTTGTCGAAACATATTTTTCTTTCAGTCATTTCAGGTCTAGTACTCGTAATAGCATGATAGCTTTAACCGAAATTAAGGGTATCATGCTATACTACTTTCTATGTCTTTTATATTTTTTGGAATAATTTATTTTTACAATTTAATTTCGTTTTGAACATTTAAAAAGAGAATTCGTCTTTGAACTGATAAGAGAATCCTTATTTAAATAATTATGTAACTATGACCACTAAACACTAGAACATAGATTTGGGGTGTAATGTGTAAACAATACAGGGTGATCTGACTTATTCATATTGCTAGATAAATATATTTTCATCACCATTTTTACTTTGCCGTGATGTAAATTCTAGGTTAACTAATATGGCTAAAATTTAATATTGATCCAGATAAGAGGAAACTTTTCATATCATATAGACTTAACGTCTGTCTCGGTTATTAATTCCAAGTTTTTTTTTTAAAGTAATGTGTTTTTTTTGGCGAGCAACCGTGAGCTGTGTCCTGGTCACGGCACCAAATTTCATTATTGTAAAAAAAAGTTTATAGTATATTCCCTTGGATAAACTGTTGGTTATTTATTGAATATTTCGCTTTCTCGATACTCCCCTTTGGAAACGGAGATTATTAAAATTATATGTATGTTCAAACCACTAGTAAATTTATCTCCGAATGTGAATAAGTCTATCGGTCACTTGGATTGTTAAATTGACTCGATGAATTGTATTTATTGTATAACAAAAGACATGTAGTTAGTGTAGTGTTAGATGTAATCATTAAGTAGTTAGTATTTTGTAATTTTAATACCGTAACAGTCAATGGATGATTTTTAATGACATTGTATAATTGTGATCATGATTAAATGGGATCGGAATATTATTAATTGAATGCAATTGTAATTATATAATATATTATTTAAACATTTATTTTATTCATATTTCATATAGTACAGTGTTTAATATGATCAAAATAAATGTGATCAAAGCACGTTACTTATTTTAATCTATTTTGAAACGTCATTCTCTAAACCGATCTCTAATATTCACTAATTTTAGAGATAGGTTGGTTAGACAGTGACATTCGATTTGCTGAATTTGATTCTGCAATATCGTTACCTGAAGTTGTCTCTTTAATTTACCAATTAGAGGGATGGCTTTATAGAATGACATTCCAGAATCGGTTCATGGTTAGGATTGATTGGTTGATTGAAGTAATTACCTACTGGTTGGTTTTTATAATAACCGCGCGTAAATTTTATATCCATTCTCTTCATTATTTTTTTTTTGTCGTGGAAAAAGAATGTTTACAATACGATTATTTTAATCAATAACTTATATTTCTTTTGAATATTATTATTTGTAATTCGGATCCATTTTTCGTAGTTTTATGTTCGTAATTTTTGACGTTAACGCCGCTTTATAATCGTGCCAAGTTGAGTTTGATTTTTTTATACTACTATGATGGCAAACAACCATACGGCCCGTCTGATGGTAAACGGGGTTACTGTAGCCTATGCACGCCTGTAACTTAAGAAACCAGTGCACGATTACAGAGCGACGTTACTCGAGTATGCAAGTTGTTACTGGGGGCCGTTATTTTGAGAAAGTAGTGTAAACTAAATCGTTGCGAATTTGTTATTGTAATGTAATATGTAGTTATAGTTGTGTATTTTTATAATAAATGGATTTTATTACATTTGTAGTTTGTTTAACCATTGTACTTGTGTGTAAGTATACATTATCAGTCGTTATTTCCTTTACCTGTCCCGATAATGAAGTATCGCGTTCGTGATTCACTGTTCACCCCAATGGTTGATTGGTAGAGAATGCTACTAGCATTAAGTCCGCCTTTTTGTACCATTTGTTTTTGGTCAATACAGTTATTTAAATAACTACAAATACTTATTCTAATACTAACTTTTAGCAGCGACTTACTTTGATGTACGACTGAATTTTGAAAGTTTTTCCTCCTCAGGGGTTGAATTTTCAAAATTCCTTTTTCTTATACAACTTAGAATGGCAAACAAACTGGTTGTCCACCTATTGGAAAGTGGTAACCGTCGCCCATGGACATGAGCAGTACCATAAACATAACAGAGTATACTGTATCGCCCATGATACCCCCATGCGTTGCCATTCCTGAGGACTCAGATGTTATTCCTCTGTACCCAGTAAATTCACGCCATATCCCACCCTTCAAACCGAAACACAGCCATGCAAACACAACTGCTTCACGGTAGAAACACGAATGGGACAGAGTTACCCAAGCAATCGACTTTTATACAAAGTCTCCCTCTGGTGAAATTTATTTATATATTTATTTATTTATAAAAGATACAATATGTTCCATAATATTTAACCGACTATGTACAATGTTATAAGTAAGTAAGTAATGAAATATGACTTCAAATAAATTGACTTTAATAAAAATATATTATTTTAAGCTTAAGTCTAGATGAACACATCGATTAGAGGCGTAGGTATACAGCTTTTACACATAAGTGGTAATGTATACTAAAGTAACAATCATACAATTAGTAGGGGGAAAGGGATTGTTAGTAATGGGGTCAAAATAGCCCTATTGCTAGCAATATACCCTGTCAGGTCGACCTCCACGTGGTTCCCCCTGGAAATCATCGTGACTAATTCTAGTTGAATTCGTCAGGATGGGCTAACTGACCCACTTTCATCTTCATCTGTCATCCCTCACTGGTGCCCTGCTAGTGTATACCGATAGCGCAGACGGGGTAACCATACCATTATCACCCATTAAAAAAAATCATACAATTAGTAAAGACTTAATTATTATTCTATATGATTAATAAGCTTAATAAACTGCATTATAGAATTACCAATGGTAATTATGGTAGCGTATGCAGTGGCGGCGACAGCGGCACAGTTTATTGTCGGCCAGGTGTAAAATGAATTTTTTTTATTGTATGATAATGAAATGGTAACCCCACCCGCGCTATCGGTATACACCGGCGGGGCACCAGTGAATGATGATAGGTGAAGATGACACAGGTCAGTTAGCCCATCGTGACGAATTCAACAAGAATTGTTCTCGATGGTGTCTAGGGTGAACCACGTGGAGGTCGACCTAATAAGGCATATCGCTAGCAATGGGGCTGTCAAACTCCATTGCTAACAATCCCTTTCCCCCCGGTGTAAAATGAGTTTGTTAAATGAAGCTAGTTGTACAGAATACGACCATCTTATACAGACGTCACAGTAATGTGGTTGTCTACTGAACAACTAGCTCGTAAGTTCCATGAATGCAGTCGTATAAAATAAGAAGTTACATAATAACGGTTAAATTGATATAGCTCCAAAGAATAACGATAAATGACATTGGAGTTGAGAACTTACTAAACAGGTATGTTTAGTAGGTTCAGATGGTTATTTTATTTATTAGGCGCACATAACAGAAATTTACAAATACAAACTTAAATTATAACATGCAAGTACATGTATTGATCAGGTAAACTTGCCACAACATGTGCACACAGCGTGATCCAATAATAAATGCGACTGCAACAAAGCCATGCGGTTGCAACTATTAGTGGAAAAAAAATAAACATAAAAAGAAACATAAACATAGAGAAAATTAAATAAAAAACAAAACAAAATTATATAAGAAATTTCTAAATATTACATTATTTTATACAATTGTCTACAATATTGATTATAACCGAGTCCAAATATGTCAAGGTCATTTTGATGAGCGTCATTATATGATATACACATATTCGCTATAGGGTTATTGAAAGAAATATTATTTCCATAAACTTCCACTTTACTTCGTTAAAGAGAAAACACTGGTTCCATAGGAGGCGGTGGAGCCGACGCAGCTCGCGGCTCGCGGCCGGCGGCGGGGACTCCGGGGATACGACGCCCAGGTACCGACATGCATTACTTATACTCACCTACTGGTGGAAGGTATCAGCACTGGGGGGGGGGACACCAGTCCTACTTACCAACAGTAGCACTCCGGGGGAAAGGAATTGTTAGTTATAGGGTTTAACAACCCCATGGAGGTGCCAGTAATGCGGACTATGGATCCCGTTGCTAGCAAAATACCCTGTCAGGTCTACCTTCACGTAGTCCCCGTTGGAAACCATCGTGCTGAATTCCAGGTATATTTATCACGATGGGCTAACTGACCTGCTTTCATCCTCATCAGTCATCTGTCACTGGTGACCCGCCAGTGTATACCCATAGCGCAGACGGGGCTACCATACCATTATTACCCATTAAAAAAAATTAGACGAGTAAGTTTTCCTAAAATTGTTTGGTAGACGTCCACGCAAAAGCTTGAAGCGGACGGCGGAGAGCGGCTCGGACAGCGGGGATCACAGGAGGAGTCTGAGGAAGAGGACGCGCATTGCTGTCAGTATATTATTATATTATATACTAGACCGGTGTTTCCCAACGTGGGGCCCACGCCCCACAGGAGGACAATTTGATAGTTAAGGGGGGACAATTAAAAAGCATTCGATTTTAACATTCTTGTTCCGGGCCATTTGAATGCAATGCTACGAGTAGATATCGGTGTCAAATTTAACAAAAAAAGTAAATTAAAAAATGCTGTAAATATTTATTAGGTATAATTTCGTTTGACGTTACCAAAATATCAACTGGGCGATTAGAGTCGTCAAGTTTGTCGGGAATAATTATGTATGGGGGCATGAACATTTTAGAAATGTTCAGGTGGGGCATGGCACTAAATAGGTTGGGAAACTTTGTACTAAACTCTATTTATTTACAAGAAACATGGTAAGTGTATAGATCTTAATAGGTATAAGTCCTCATATTTCGCCATAATTAGGCATGCGAAATTGAAAACTTAAAAAGAATAAATGTTAATCAAATGAGACATTAAAACAATTCGTAATATTATAAAAATAAAAAAAAAACAAATATACGTATCAAATACGTCGAGCAATGGTTTAACAATAAAAAAAGATATGTCACTGTCAAATCATGGACTATTTATAACTGCTGTATTGTTACGCGATAGTTGCAGTTATGTTTTTACCCATAAAGAGTTACTGTTTGCGAATAATATGTAGATACTATATTTTATCTGTTTTACACTCGACTTTAAAAATAATAAGGTATGGTTGTATTTTTCTTGTTTTTGACCTCATAACTCTGTTGTAAACTAATTTGAAAAATCGATAGGGAATTCACCATCACACGCTTGAATATAAATGGTCACGTGTGGTTTCCAAGGAATTTTCTCCTGTGAATGCTCAGGCTGTGGAATGAGCTCCCTGTCGAGGTTTCTAGAGACTACGGTATGTGGTTCTTCCAAAAGGTTAGGTATATTAAGCTTTCTTGAGGGTCGGCAACGCGCACGGGACACCCCTAGTGTCGCAGGCTATATTATAGGTTATAGGCTAGTGACCGTTTACCATCAGACGGGCTGTACGCTTGTTTGCTACCTTCTTGGTTTATTAAAAAATCTTCTCTATTTGAAAAATATTTTTATGCATTGGTTCCATATAATTTTTATCAAAATCGTTAAAGTAATTTAGTTTTACATTAAAATAATTGGTGTTGCCACAATTGAAGTTGGTTTTTTTGTGTAGCACAATATTAATTATTTATTTTACTACCCGTGCGAAGCCGGGGCGGGACACTAGTCGTCAATGTATCAAATTAATTCGGTTTCATGGCCCGCTAGATAGTGAGGGTGGGCGAGGTAGGACCTCGGGGCATACCCCATTGCCCCAGCTTCAACTACGGAAGCTACCACCTCCGGGTCACGAGGTTTTAAACCGACATAGACTAGGTGTTATTGTGTATATCTACGTGGAGTTTTCTTCTTTCTTGTTTATAAAAGTAAATAAGGGCTTGCTCTTTCCCCTTGATATGTATTTGGTTTTTTTTTTCTCAATGTATGAATTTATTTTGTAGGCGCAACAGTGAGTGGCGCGGGTGTCGCGGCTAGCAAGTGCCGAGAACAAGCCGCGGCCATCGCAGTGTCTTAAAAGGGCTCCTAAAAGGTGGAAGGTTGTTTAGTATGGGAAACTAAGCCCGTCAATGTATGCATGTTGAATGAAATACAGTTTTGATATATTGTGTTTTGTAATTTTGATTTTGGAAACTATTTTATATCTTATTTTCATGTCCAGTCACCCAGAGATACCTACCAACTACAATTTATTACATTATACTAGAGTACGTTAGCTTATATGGAAAATGTCTCGGCAAATCGCAAGTAGCTCTTACACTCGCTATTTACAGATAAAAACTACATAATTATGAGCTTAAGGGTCATTATGTATTTAAATAACTAAAAATCTACCTAATTTACTTGATATTATGTTTACTTAGACGTCTGTCAATGTATTTTTGGGTACATCTCTTGTGGTGTTCTGTCGTAGAAGAAATACTTTGGGAAACAAGCTTAGTTTATAGTTTAACACTGTCTGTTCACATGTTACCTAGCCAGGTACTCTGCTGTTAATTTTGTTTTTCTCTTATTGTTTTCACAAGTTTCTTTGCATGTTAGAATTTGTTGTTTACCTACATATATTGTGAAAGTATGTTGATTGATAATAAACGACAGAATTGTTATTAAATAGTTTTTTGTTTTTAAATTCCTTGACAGTAAAGAACAATAACAAAAAAGAAACTGAGTTGTTACTTTGTTGTGTTACTGAGGACTGTGGCACAATCAAGAAATAAGAAAGTATGTTGCTTCTTTTATGTATTTTGTTTTTTTTTATTTTTTTTATACAACTTAGAATGGCAAACAAGCTGACGGCCCACCCGATGGAAAGTGGTAATCGTCGCCTATAAACGTGAGCAGTACCATGGACATAACAGAGTATACTGTTTCGCCCATGATACACCCATGCGTCGCCGCTCCTGAGGACTCCTGTTATTCCTCTGTACTCTGTAAATTCACGCCATATCCCACCCTTCAAACCGAAACACAGCCATGCAAACAGAACTGCTTCACGGTTGAAACACGAATGGGACAGAGGTACCCAAGCAATCGACTTTTGTACAAAGTCTCCCTGTGGTAAATCTCTGATAAATATGTATATATGTATTCTTTTATCTCTTTTTATTGTAGGTATATCATGTCTGTTGTTATTTGTGTGTTGTAAGTAATGCAAATAAATTATATATCTATCTACTTTGTAATGGGATTATGTAAGTTCAGCAATGGCTGATGAGTGGCTGAAGTTATGAATACATGGATGTAAGGGCTGAAGTGAATATACCTACTTGCTGGGTGGCGGCGCAGGAGGCGGCGCGGGCGCAGCGCCGGGGAGGGGAGGGACCGCCTCGTTCACGCCCATTTCACTCGCCGCTGAAGGCAGCTGTAGCGAAAATACATTCTTGTGTAGCGGTGAATAAGAGGACGTGTTCAGTCGTATGTCTGTCTGTACGCGACGGATATCGCTTTCCATTTGGTGCGCCGTCGTATAGTAATTTGTTTACTATTTCAAGTTATATTATATTTATATAGCTAAGATTCCACGATATGGGATAGAGCAACAATAATAGATACAGAAATAAAACTTAGGTCTTAGGTACTTTTTTTTTAATGGGTGAAAATGGATTTGTAACCCCGCCCGCGCTATCGGTATACACCGACGAGGCACCAGTAGAAGATGATAGGTGAGAATGAATGCAGGTTAGTTGGCCCACCATGATGAATTCGACAAGAATTAAACATGATGGTTTCCAGGGGGAACCGCGTGGAGGTCAACCTGAGAGGGTATATTGCCAGTAATGGGGCTATTAGACTCCATAACTGACAATCCCTTTCCCCCCAGGTCCTAGGTACTTAGGATTTGTTTGATCCCAACAAGTACCCTGTGGGGTCCAAGCTTATTGTTATTAATAAGTAGTTAATTATTAAACAGTCTGTTTTTTTTATACCACTGAGGTTGTAAATAAGCATACGGCTCACCTGATGGTAGGCCGTATGCTTGTTTACCGTGCCGACGGTGTTGACGGTTACCGTAGTTTATGAACGCGTGCAATACCAGGGTCATTATGGGCGCGTTGATGTAGATCTTCAGTTAGTTATAGTTAAGCATATTTATTTCTTTAATGGATGACAACAGAATGGCAACCCCGCCCGCGCTAATGGTATATACTCTGGCGGGGTACCAAGGAGGGATGACTGGTGAGAATGGCAGTTCAGTTAGCCCATCGTGATGTATACACCTGGCATTCAGCACCATGGTTTCCAGGGGGGACCACGTGGAGGTCGACCTGACAGGGTATATTGCTAGCAATGGGACTGGTAGTACGTTTTACAATCCCTCCCTTCGGTACAAAGTATATTAGGTATATTTAGATAATTCAAAAGATTAATAGATTTTGTGTAAGTAGTTTTTTATTTTAGTTTTTTGTTTAATTCGCGAGGCGTTTTCGATATATTAGGTACAGATATAATATCCTAAGCTAGTGGTAGCCTAGTACCTCTCTACATTTAATACAGACCATTGTAGATGATGTATCAGCAAGTCAAAGATCGCTCTCAGCAATAAGATCGCCTCACTGTACTTATACAATTGTATCGTTGTGTTTGTAAATCGTCTTGCTTATTTCCTATATTGTATGATGCAAATAAAGTATACTCATTCATTCATTCAAATACCACCGCATAACACACACACACACACAGCATCAGCAAAAAAGTGTCGACTATAACGTTCTTTCCGTGCTATTCGACTGTGAATCCGCTCGATCCGGATATCTGACAGATGCGACTTCCAATACAGCCATATCAAGTTATGTCCATGGTACTGCTCATGTCTATAGGCGACGGTTACCACTTTCCATCAGGTGGGCCGTCAGCTTGTTTGACATTCTAAGTTGTATAAAAAAAATCAGAAGGCAAAATTTTACAATTCCAATATTCCAGATTCACGGATGTAGTGTGTATTTATTTAAAAAAAATTTTTTTTTTCTTATTTTTAGTTAGTTAATTTTTAAGCAAATTATAAAATGTACGCTATTGTAGTCCATAACTATAGTCATGGATCCATCCTAACCGTTCCCCTTCAAGGGCTCTCAACGTTCGTGGACGCTCATATGACTCGCATAGCCCACTTTGTTTATAAAAGTGCGCATACATTTTGGGCATTTTTTATTTTTACAATAAAAAAAATATTGCGTCCTGTTTCAAGCTGAAAAGAACGATGGAACTTTTTTTATTAGGTGATAATGGAATGGTAACTCCACTCGCGCTATGTATCACCAGAGGGAGACTTTGTACAAAAGTCGATTGCTTGGGTACCTCTGTCCCATTCGTGTTTCAACCGTGAAGCAGTTGTGTTTGCATGACTGTGTTTCGGTTTGAAGGGTGGGATATGGCGTGAATTTACAGGGTACAGAGGAAAAACACCTGAGTCCTCAGGAATGGCAACACATGGGGGTATCATGGGCGAAACAATATACTCTGTTATGTCCATGATACTGCTTATGTCTATAGGCAACGGTTACCACTTTCCAACAGGTGGGACCGTCACCTTGTTTGCCATTCTAAGTTGTATAAAAAAAAATGTATATACACCGGCGGAGCACCAGTGAGGGATGATAGGTGAGGATGAAGCAGGTCAGTTAGTCCATCGTGACGTACTCAACAAGAATTGTTCACGATGGTTTCCAGGGGGAAACACGTAGAGGTCGACCTATTAGTGCATATTGCTAGCAATGGGACTGTAAAACTCCATTGCTAACAATTCCTTTTCCCATTGAAGGATGGGACTTAGTCTCGTATAACTATAACAAAATACATAACTACTAACGATTAACAATATAATATAAAACTCCTGAATCATCGACGCTGGCCTAGATCTTTCCAAATAGAACTAACGGCCGCCATCGTGCCGTATGCCGGCCCTCCCTCCGTACAGTTCTGGCATTTCACATAGCGTGGTTTGTTTATGGCGGCCAAGGTTTGTTATGATACGTGCGGCTGGTGGTCCTGACGTCGCGCGGTGTGGCCGGCGCCTACGAGCGAATCCGGTTTCATGAGAACTCACTACACTTTGGTTTATTGCTATTTTTATAATGCTTCATGTCTACATACATATGGTTTCTGGACGATTATGGCGGTATTCTGAAAATATGATGGATTCAAGAATTTTTTATACCGCTGAGGTGGCAAACAAGCATACGGCCCACCTGATGGTAAGTGGTTATTGTAGCCTATGAACACCTGCAATATCAGAGTTGTTGCAGGTGCAATACCAGAATTAAATAAACACATAAAATTCTTACTAAAATTACGAATGTGAAGGTAAGTTTGTTTATTGAAATGAAATGAGATTTATTCGTAAAAAAACAACTGTAGTTTCTTTTATTATCTCTTGGCGCTTTAACAGCTCATTCAGTTTACATGGAATTTGTCATAAATATAGTATTTTTTTTTTCATATGGATGATAATTAAATAGTAACCCCGCCTGCATTATCGGTATACGCTGGCGAGGCACCAGTGAGGGATGATAGGTGAGAATGAAAAGGCAGGTCAGTTAGCCCACGTGATGAATACCTGGAATTCAGCACGATGGTTTCCGGGAGAACCACGTGGCATCACAGTATAATTTATATTATTATTATGTGATGTATATGTTAATAGGCAAAGGTATCTATTATTTATTAAATGGGGTTTGCTATTTCACGTTATAAAAGAAGTCTCATTTTATTTGAACTTGGTAACCGTCGCCTATAGACATGAGCAGTACCATGGACATAACAGAGTATACTGTTTCGCCCATGATACCCCCTGCGTTGCTATTCCTGAGAACTCAGGTGTTATTCCTCTGTACCCTGTAAATGCACGCCATATCCTACCCTTCAAACCGAAACACAGCCATGCAAACACAACTGCTTCACGGTAGAAACACGAATGGGACAGAGGTACCCAAGGAAACAACTTTTGTACAAAGTCTCCCTCTGGTGATTTATAATAATACAAACATTAATTCTGGTTTCGTGTACAAGTGATACTTTGGAATTATTTGAATGACAAACAATGTAATATGGCAGTGAAATTACGGGATACGAAGACATATATATACCTAATTCCATAGACCTCAGGAAGACTAATGCCTTACGCATTACGACACCGTAGATGTTATGGAGTGATCTATATAATATTTATGGTGCTGTTCATATTTATAGGCTATATTAGTTTGTTTACCATTTTATGTTGCATAAAAAAGTAAATTCCCCCAAATGAGTGGATAAATAAGATGGATCTGCAATAAAAAAGTCTTAACTTCCAATGTGCGTAATTCCATAACCATACCCAACGCTACGAGCAATATACAAGCTACGGTTGCCATGTAACCATTAGAGTAGGCAGGCGAGGTGATGTGTTGTTGATTTTGATGGGTAATGAGGGGGAGTATGAGGCAGCCGTGTAGGTACAAACAAGTAAGT